GGGTTGGAGTTGGTGAGTGATAAGTCCAGCATTCCGTCTCCGTCTTACACACACACACTCTCTCTCTCTCTCTCTCTATCTCTCTCTATGGACAAGTTCTCTGTGAAGGGCGGTAGGTACGCACGGGATTCAAAAGTTCATCCGCAAAAGGCCATCGACGAATCGGCAGAAAGCCCGCCAGTGATTGTTGTTTAACAAAGGTGGGATGGTAGGGGGGGAGGAGGGGGGAGGGGGCTATGGATGATGAGTACATTGATGGAGACGGCTCGAATCGAACGCCATTCTCGTCCTAGCTCGCCGTGGATTGGTCACCTTTGGTGGTGTCGTGTCTTTGAAAGGTCCAGCCAGGTATCCGGGCTCTGCTGGCGAAAGAGGCTCTTGAATTAAATCCGGGGCGGGATTTGGGGTCCATCTCTCCCCTCGTCCCAGTCCAACGGGCTTCTGGGACGATTTATTCGCCCGATTCAACCCTTGTCCATATTACTTTTTTTAATTTTCTTTTTCCTTTCTTTTCTCCGATCTTGTTTGAAGATCTGGCGGTATGTTGCAGGCTTGGGAGCACTGTCCACTCTTGTTCCGTTTGCACGCTGTGGCAGCGCCTCCATTTTGCCTTTTTTTTTTTTTTTTTTTTCCCCCCCCCCGGCGGCCGGCGGGGGGGCGGGCGGGTTCCCCCCCGCCCCCCCTTGCCGCCCGCGCTGGCGCTTCTGTTTTCTTTTCTCTTTCTTTCTTTCCTGTGTTGTCTTTTTTTTTTTTTTTTTTTTTTTTTTTTTTTTTCCCCCCCTCAGTACTCAGTCCGGTGTGACGGTGGCAGCATACTTCACCTTACCTTATAGATGCCTTGGACAGCACCTACCTCGCCCACCCCCAAATCCCAGACCAAGGAGAAAAGCGAAAGGACACACGTTGTTGTGATTCCAGCCACTCGGTCGGGTCCCATGCCGATACGACGCCAAGCTTGGCGGGCGAGAGCAGGCGATTGGCCCAGCCAAGCCAGAGTCTGACTTGTTCGTTTCGGATGGTCCCTCGATTGGAAGGGGCAGCGCACAGGGAAATGGGCCAAGTCGCATAGCATGCCCGTTTCAATCGCGTGGACAGTGCTCTCTCTCTCTCTCTGTTTCTCTTTCTGTCTCTTTTCGCCTCCAACTCCAAGACCAGTCTGGATCGCAGCTACCTTATACGGAGCGAGACCAGAGGGCGGGAGTATGCCAAGTCCATATGCAATGCCTTCATCCAAAGGATCCAAAGGAGGCAAACAAGAACCTCTCTCTCTCGCTTCTCGGTTTGGCCCCGTCCTGGACAAGCAAGCAGAGCCCCCGGATCATCACATCCGTGGGAACAAGTTGGGACAGAGTATACCAGCATTGAGAAACGTCTGGATGACAAAGAAAGAAAAAAGCCAAACCAAAAGTGATTTGTCAAGAAGAAAAAAACCATAGCTCAACCTCGAGCCCCTACTGCTGTTTCTCGACCGAAACATCGGGCGACCTGTATATGGACTTCTGTCTTTCACAATGCACAGGCCCACCTTCACAGAGACCCAAGTAGCGGTTTAAAGGAATTAAAAGGGAAGATTGCGTCTTCTGTAACCGGGAAACATGAAATGTAGGAAACTTGAGATGTGCAAGGTCCAAGAAACACAAACAGCACCGTCACTGTCATCGCCTCCAAGCTACGGCAGGGCATCATTCCCGTCCCACCGTCCGTGATGTTCAAAAAAAAAGAACATTTCAACCCATCTCCCCCACCCCGGGCCATTCCCCTTTTCCCTTTTCTCCAACGCTGAAAATAGCTTTCGTGTCACTGTTTTGCTCTGCTTGTAATAGCTACGAGTGTTTCCGTCCTGGCTGCCCATGTCCGTTCGCCCTTCTTGTTCCAAAACAACATATGCACCACCCGGTCTTCGTACCGAGTTCTGCACTGCTCGGGAGAAACGGCATGCCACGCCGCCGGGGACTGTACTCGACACAACTCTGTCGGGCATCCCACTATCCCATCATTTCGGGCTGGCACTCCTCCGCGGCATCAGGAAAGGGGTGCTTGAACGGCTAAAAAGAGAAGAAAAAAAGAACCTCACGGTCCAAAGTCCAAATTCCTCACCGTAGATCTCCCGCTGGGGCAGATCAGAAAGGGACCACATGGACCACCCAAGGCCTAACCAATGGAAACACGTTCAACCTAGTAGGCTCGTACTGTCCCATGGGGCCTTTGGACTCTTTTTTTCGCATTCGCTTAATACTACACGCTTACACGGGTCCTCATCGATTCCTCTCCGCTGGCCAGTGTGGAGTGAGTTCGAAGAATGCTGAGGATACAGCGCCCCACAGTACGGATACCATCCATCTGTCTATACCCTCGGTGTCTGTCCCGTCCGTGTCGCCACACAAGTGTTCATCCACCACTTTCAAATCCTACCTCGCCTTTCTCTTCCTCCAAGTGACGGCGACCATACCCATCTGATGGTCTCCAACTCTCCTGCTCCTCCCATGATTCAAGAACCCCTCCTCCCGCGCCCAAGAGGAGGAAAACATATTCTCCTTCCACTGAGCTACAACCGTTACTGCACCCCAGACACTTAACCACCCACCACCAACACCACCATAATCATTAACCAAGGAATTCATCATCGTTAAATGGCAGTGTGCATAACCACATTCCTCTTAGCCTCTCATGCTCCCAAGACATGCGCTGATGCAGTAATTCCCCTCCTGCTCCGGCCCCCCCGCCGGGACAACCCAAACCTCCGATCGCTCAGGATCTAGATACTAACGTACACCTGCCGACATTCCGCGTCCGTCCTGACGGACTTCACACGGCTAATTAAATCCAAACTCCGCCCCTTGTCGTCTCCTCCGCACCTTTCCTTTCTCTCTCTCCTCACACTCCGTACCTTCGTTCCCAACATAGAAAAAAAGCTCACCCCGTTCAGTCATCACCAAGCAGCCACGGTTCTGTATCAACCACTCCTGTGATGTCTCACATGGTTCTTATGCCTGATGAAGAAAAATCCACTCCTTCAACCAGACGAACCACTGACTCACTCTGCCACCGAGTGGCCATCTCTCAACGACAGAAGAGCACCAGAAGATGAGTGAGATAGTGTCATGTATTCATCCGCCGACTAACTAGACTAGATTCCTGCGTCGCTTCCGCTGTGTATGCGGTGTCTAGTTGTTTGCGCAAGGTATTGTGGCTTGCAGCCCAACGCCCAATACGTGAGTGCCCTCTGACATATGTAAAAGACGTATGCACTCGAACTGGCACTCCACGTCGTCGGCCTTCCAAACCTGTGAGATCCAGCGGATCCCCTCGAATCGTCCCCAAAGACTTTGAATCCTGAATCATGCCATCACGAAGATGCTCCCTGAAACGCCATATACACCCATAGAAGAAAAAAAAAACGCCGTGGTCGATCCGTGTAAAAGGTCATCCTGCATGCCGACCCAAACCTGCCCATTAACTGAAAATGCTGTTCAATAAAAACCGTTTCCTGTACCAGGCATGTCGGTTACGTCTACCTATACCAGTTCCAAAGGACGCCGCTACTCGTGTCCCCATGGTGTGCTAGCCTGAAGCGGCGGCGGCCCGCTATTATCACCATTCAACATACGCCGATGACTGTCGTCAGGTGCTGCTGGGTTTCCATGATTCCAAGTGCCTGGGGGGGCCGCCGGTAGTGAGGTTCGGTTCGTGGAGGTTGAATATCCGCTGCCATGGAGTCCATGAGGCATGCCGAGGCCACTTGACATGCCTTGCTGACTATGAGGTGGTGCGTAGACAGGAATTGTCTGTGCAGATGAACTCGAAGCCTCTGCTGGTCCTCCAAAGCCAGGTGCCTGATGCTGAGGCATACTGGCCCCAGCAAAGGATACATGTGACGTGGAATTGTGGCCCGTACGACTGGAAGCGCTAGATGTAAAAGCTCCCCGGGCTGGAAGCAAAGTGGCCATGCCGCCGTGTGGTCTCCGGCTACTTTCGTACGTACTAGATACCGGCCTGGGCCGGCTGCTGAATGTTGGCGACCCAGGTCCTTGAATACCAGTACGAGGCCGAATTCTACGGCGACTCTCACCGCTGTCTGTTGGAGGGGAACGGCGTTCCCCATGGCTGGTTCCAGCTCCTTGTGAGCGATTTGCGTCATCCTGTGCTAGAAGAGCGTCCCTCTCTCTCATGAAGCCAGCATATCCCCCCACGAGGCCCCCGAGATTCACATGGCCACGATTACGGAAGTATCGGTCGAAGGTAGGGTTGGTGGATGTGATTCTGGGTTCGTGCGGCACCTTGTCTCTGCAATAAGGGCAACTGTCGGACTCCTCAAACCACTTCTTGATGCAGTGGTCACCAAACACATGTTTGCATTTGGGAAGTCGGAGTGGAGCCTCCTTGACGCCTTCAGGGGTTTCTACACCAAATTCGTTGTAGCAAATGACGCAGGCTGTCAAGTCATGTTAGTCTTTATCCATTGCACGCAGCATCCATGGGACTCACTTCTTTCACTCTCTGACAAGTCGGTGATCGGCACACTTTGGAGAGATTGAATAGCTGATGAAGATGCTACGTATTTTGTAGTCACAGAGCCACGCATGAACTGAGCAGCCCGAACATGGTCTTCTTCCATAGTCATAATATGACGTGCCATTTGTGTTGGGTTTCCAGCCATTGTTAAGAGCTGTTCGAGGCCTCTGTCGGAATCCACGTCACTATCGGAGGGCGGGCTTTGTCTTCTAGATACTGTGCGCCGAATGGTAGGGACTCGGCGTCGCTCTGTATGGGGATGGGTTGATGGGCTCAAGTTGCCTGAAGAGCTCGAGGTTCCCGAAGACGAGGCGCCTGTGACATGACGAGCAATATGAGCATATATATTCTCGGATGCATACAAAAACATCTCACCTGATGGAGAGCGGTAAGGTCCTCGTGGGGGGTTGAGAAAGGTCGTATGGCTGCGATGGGGAGTAGCTGAAGGAGGAGCAGATCCAAATTGGATGCTGGCTCCAGAAGGTGGCGCTTGACTTGCACCACCAGTAGATTCTGGTGCCTCAAGCGGGGGAGGATTTTGAGGCTCTGCGAGGCGATCTGGGCCGGTTTGCGTAACCGCAGGAGTTAACGCATTCATAGAGTGTGACGCTGTGTTGAAGGCGCTGTGACGAGGTGAGGCATTCTGCCCACCAAAAGACCTCTCAGAACCAGCATACAATGGCTGGCCTGATGGTGGATGGTTTGCCGGCATGGACGTTGACGGACCGAATCTCACTGGAGGGAGCTGTGTGTGAGAGAACGATGGATGCATGGTCGGAGGGCCTCCCATCTCATTTGGGGGTGCACCCGAGTAGCCGCCAGCCACATTGCCAAAGTTCGGAACAGGCGCATGGTTATAGTAAGGAGCATCAGAGGCTGAGTTTGAAGATCGGTGCTGGGACGCCGAAGGTCCTCGGTGGTTCATCACCGGGGGCTGGGGTTGCCACTGATACGGCGGCAGTTGTCCTTGAGGTTGCCAGTAGTTCGCTGAGGCGTGAACAGGGTCATAGTGCATCGTTGAGCGGTGCGGTGGCATGCCGGGGAGTTGCTGCTGGCCTTCTCTGTTGTGGAAATAGGGGCATCGTGGACGCTGCTGTGTGTACGGATTCTGTGCCTGGCCCTGGGACTGCTCCGGATGGTGATATGCGTAATCCATGGCTTCTTCCATTCTGTGAATTCCTCCTACTGTTGTGTGAGAAACGTCCTAGACTGCGTCTGTGAAGCTGGCTTCCTATTTGTGGTTGGGTTGCCTATAATGGAGAACTACAGTCTCTCTTTCACCAAATAACTGGGCTCTCGCTTTCTTCTTCCTTTTGGGTTTGTATTCCCCGTTTGTATGCAGGTGCACGGCGTCGCTCGCTTGCTTTTCTTGCGCCCTTGTTCGTTCAGTCCGGGCGGTGCGGCGGCGTCGTACAAGCTTTCAGTGATCGAGGCAAGCTGATCGTTGCGGTGGGGGGGGGGGGGGGGGCGAGGGGTGTGGGGCGCGTGGGGGAGGGGGGGGCCCCCGGGGGCCCGGGGGGGGGGGGGCGGGGGGGGGGGGGGGGGTGGTAGTGAGTGGGGGGGGGGGGGGGGGGGGGGGTGGGGTGGGGGGGGGGGGGGGGGGGAGCAAGATGATTGTGGTCCGTTGGTAAGTCGTCGTGGACTGACCGGGAGGCGGGGCAAACGTGGGTGTCTGGAGGAGGGGTCTGGGGGAATTCGGAGGTGTTCAACCGAGCGTCGCTGCTTTTATCGGTTGGTGATAAAGAGATACCAAGAAGCGCTCAGAATGTTGTCCTTCCTGTTACCCATCGAGGTTTCTCGTATTGTGTTTTGTGTCCTCCAAACGTGACGTCGCACGGGTTAGATAAAACTCAGAGCCGAAAATTCGGTGTACCTGGGAGGCAGAGGCGGAATTGAAGTGTCAGAGTCAAGAGTGTGAGGTGAGGGGCGCTGCTGCTAAGACACCGAGATGGGCCGCTGGATCATGCCGCTTTCAGAAGTTAGTCAAATGCTCGCAAAAGAACAGGATGCAGGCGTCTGTCTCGTTTGGCCGTAACAGGTAAGATGCAGCCGGGTAAGAGCGTTGGGGCGATTAATGCTGTGGAAGAAAGATTTAAAAAAAAAATGAAATAAATGACTGCTGGGCATTCCTCGTAACAACGTATCAAGAGCGGTCTGTGTCTCTTGTTCCGCTTGTTCGGTCTTGCTCTTGTCGCAGGGCAGTGATGGAGTAGGGATGAAAGGGGGAGCGTGTAAGAGGATTGTGCGTGGGAGCCGTCCAGGGCGGGGGGATCGAGGCAGAGGGATACCTTATATGGATGTGGTATGAGTGGGCGAGGGTGAGTGAGGGTGACCAGGAAGCTAAGGTGAGATGGGCCAAGCAAGGCACTGAGAGAAATAGAGTGAGGGCGAAGGCAGCCTGTTCGTCTTCTTATTAGGTAGCCAAAAAGAGGGGTGACTCGACGGGTTGGTTTCTTGTGGTGCCAGCCGCATATGTCGTGACGCCAATATCGCCGAGCAAGGGATATTGATCGATGGATGGGGTCGGAGGGAGAAGTTGGAAGGTTCACCAGTGGTCGGTGGGCGGCGACGAGTGTCGGTGAGACGACGATGGCTCGAGAAGAGGTGGAAGTGGGAAGAAGAGACGGCCGGCGGGGGGTGGGAAAGGGAAGGGAAGGCGCGGCAAAGAAAGAGGGGTGGGCAGGCAGTCTTGGTTTTGTATTTCGTCGCAGGCAAGAAGGAAGGGAACCTTGGGGACACCAGACACCAGACACCAGACGCCAGGCGCCAGACAGACATACACCAACCACGTACGTATTGAGGCAAGGTGCAAGAAGGTCAGGTCGACAGGCGGGCCATGGAAGAGAGAGACTCCAGCCAAGCAAGGTCCAAGAGACAATGGGGATCAGAGGGGAAGACGAGGCGAGATCCAGACAAGGCACCGGAAGCCAAAGCCAAAGCCCACCTTGGATCTCACCACCCCAGAGGTATAAGTCAGGTATCTCGCTCACACTCGACCCTCACCAAAGGCGGCAAGCCAGACGGACCACTGATGACGGAGCCCTCATGAAATGGATAATGACACCGGGACGGGGACTAGCAAGAGCCTACATACGTACTGCGTACATGTGCAGAAAGAGTGAGGGAAACACCATGCACCAAGACGGGACCGAGTTGGGTAGACTGGGTGACTGGCAATTAACACGGCTGGGCCGCGCTGGGGCTGGGTTGGACCGGCCAGGCTTTACTTTACGTATGCACTGCTAGCCAGTATTACTACCGCTACTACTCCTCCTACGATCAAAGAGCAGTAGCCCATGGGACATGACCATGTTCCATGTCCAGAAAGCCATGTCGTTGCAGGGCAGAAAGGGCGGTAATTATGGGCTGGGTTGGGTTGCTTTGCTCGACAGGATCGGATTGGATCAGGACGGACCAAAGACGGCGAAGCAAAGTACCGCAACGCAGAGCACAGTAGCACATTGCAGAGCAGAGCAGAGCAAGCAGAGCAGAGCAGAGCACACACAGCACTGCTTCGTACACACGGCACAACATGGCATGGGCAGGGCAGGCAGAGGCAGGGCGTTACGGCGTGGCATGGTGCTGCACTCCCGTCAGGGAAGACGGCGGACGACAACCCAACGGGAATGGGAATGGGGGTCAGGGAGCAAGGGCAACAAAAAAGACCGGGACTCAGAAGGCGACTTGCCGTGAGAGACGACACACGCTGGGGGTACGAAATAGCGTGAGTGTGAGAGTCAGAGACGACTGGGCGAGCGCCGAGCAGAGAGAGTTGCAGGGCCATGCACACCCGCCGGTCCAGTCCAGTCCAGATCCCGAATTTTGCCCTCGCAATCATGCTGCAGCCCACTCGCCCGTCGTTTGGCCCTCACCTCGGGACCCCAAGAAGACCTCGCTCCGTTGGCCGAACTGAGTGTACGGCCGGGCCCACCAACAGCGACAAAATGTAGTACGAGCAAACCGAACCGGACTGGACCGGACTGGATATTGAACGTGGCTGCCGGGAACAGTACCAGCCTACAGGAACCGTCACCTTTGGAAAGAAGAAGAAAATGACGGAAATTCGCCCGCGTGGCCCTGGGCCAGGCCGGGCGGGTGCTGATTGCTGGTGCCGCGGCTGGCAAAGAGGTTGATTAGTTGCTGATGCGGGTGCCGCTCTACTAATACGGCGGAACCGTGTTGCTAGTAGGGTACCTTGTGCGATGCCCTCATTTTGTTCGCAGTGGTCTCTCCTACTCCAGTGTTCCACATGTAAGCAGGCCCGGCCCTGGGATGCGCGTGGCTCCGTCTCTTTGGAGGGGCAAGCTATGCGACATTGACTGCGTTGGGCGAGGGTTAAATGAATAGTCCCTTGTCGGTTCCGTGGTGGGAGCGAAAGCTGGAAGCGGATGAATAGGCAGAAAAGGGCCAAGACAAGTTCGGATCTGAGAGAGTCAGTGAGCCTCGAATACCGTACGGAGTAACGTCCACTCCCACTGCCTTCCCTTCCCTGGAGAGTAACCTTTTGCAGCCTGCCTGGCTAGTGCCCTGTCCGAGGTGAGCCACCAATGTGAGCGAGACGCGAGCAACCTTACCAGACATGGGTAGCGAGCGGGTGTGTTTGGAGCATTGTTGTCTGTTCGGATCCTACGGGGGCGGGTGTCAGTTGGCGGCGGCAAGGCACCTTTCCTTTCCAAAACAGCTTTGGGGGCGGCGAAGGAGAGATGAATTGTGATACGCCAAAGACTGGGTCGAGACCAGGTCACAAGCCCGTCTTGGATGGCGGATGGGCGGTGGTTGACGGTGGCGGCGGTGGACAGGGAGAGGCTTGAGGATAACTGCGAGTTGCAAGCTAGGTCTCGTTCTTGCCCTGTGTTCCAACAGGTTTTTTCTCTTGAACCACCCCTTGCCAATTTAGATACCATGCCATGTCAGTTTGTATCCGCAGTTGACCGCCGTATGTGGACGACGGAAAAATGCAGATGGATGCACACGGGCGGCATGCTGAAAGTTTCTCTGCTCAAGACTCTAAGCTGGGGCCTCGGAACCGCTGGGAAGAATGAGAGAGTTGTCAAAGGAAGAGCACCCATCACGGACCACGTCCAACTGGGCTGGAGGCCTGAACAGATGGGAAAATAAAGGTGGGCGTTCTAGTATATCAGGAAAGGCTGGCGCTGAGGGGAACGCAAGCGCATCGCATCGGCACATCAGCATACCTATTTGCATGAGAACGAGAATGAAAATGGAAATCGGGAACAGCCTCAGCAGATGACTCCCCTCGTTTGGAGGCGATGACTTGCTGGCCTGCCGAAAGCGTCGTCGGGTGGCCAGGTGCCCTTTCCTGGGTTCTGTTTCTATGACTGACAGAACCCACTCACCATTCCAGCCGTCCTCCGAGGAACCTCCCAAAGCTCCACCGTGATGCCGCCGGGTGTCATCATGTCGTGACCGGGTTCTGAAATGGACGAAACCTTTTGGTTGCTAAAGCGTTATGTAGCTAAACGTCAACGACCGGGGTGGGGCATGGGTGTGTCAGGAGGTTGCATTGGCAGTCCCGGCTTCAGTTGGTCAACTCCATCCAAGTGTGAGTGAGGTGCTCACATGAACCATCTGAGCTCTGCTGGTCCAAGCAAGACATCCAGTAAATACTACACACATCACTCACAATATCGCCGTATCAAGTATCAATAAATACGGCCCAGCACCCACCCCCTTGCCACACATGGCCTGTGATTAGACACTTCTGTCGTCACTCCATCCTGCGAACTGCTCACAACATACCCGGCTGGCTCGTTGGCTAGGTCTCTTGGACGGCCCTGGTTCTCTCTCATCTTAATGAGCACCGCATGGCTGGCTGGGGGCTTGCAGGACAGAAGCTGGTGGCCCTGCAAAATAATCACTCACCAACCCATACCTGCACTCTGCTCTGCCCGGCCTGTTTCGGTGGCACTACAGACGCAAGCCAACTCTCATGGCAAAAAAAAAAAAAAAAAAATATTCAACAACTAGCCCACCACAAACCATGAACAGTGGCTGGATTCTTACAGGAAGCTGCACTGGAAGAAGTATGGCATCGGGTGTGGGAGGCTGACTGGGGGTCCGTGTGATTCGAGTCGGCCGGACTGAAAGTGAGATCAAGCAGGGCCGGGGGTGAGAATGAAGTGAAGGGTGAGAGTGAGAATGAGAGTGAGACTAACACACAACTAAGGCAGGCTTGTCAGGTGTTACGAAACTCAACTTGATCAACTAGTCGCACGCGCCATATGCGAGCCCTTCGCAGCACCAGCATGTTTTCGGCTTGTTATACATAACGACGGCCTTAACACCGCCACTGTACCCTGCCGTGCCTGCCTGCTGCTTGCGCTGTGTTTATGCATGTTAAGACGAGTGAGGTAGTCGTAGTCGTCTCGTACTTTCTGCCCCGAAAACCCTTGGCTTGCCGCCTTCCCTTACCAGAAGGTGTCTCCTCCCTCGCAGCTACTGAGTTCCTGCAGAGTATCCGCACCTTACTCTTTGAGTCTTTCCTTGTCGATAAGTTAGTTAGTCAGTCAGTCACCCACTAACCTCACCTCATCTGACGAATTAGATGGGAAGACCCTGAACTTGCATCCAGACCGGGGTCCTGTCATCTCAAGCTTCCTTCGCCGGCAAGCCTTCTTTTCTTCGTCTTCACCTTCCTCTTGGCCCTCGGGCGTCAAGTCATCTGTCTTTAATAAAATAAAAATTAAAAAAATGTGTGACTTGTCGTCAGCTTCTTTGCAATTCCCTCAATTCTCAAATGCATACGGATATGGCTGTTCCATCTTGTGCAACTTTCACTGGATATACTGAGACTTGTTCTCAGGCTGACTGGGTCAAAGTCCAAACAACTGCATCCGACGGGTTTCCCTGCGTTTTCCCCCTTCTCCCCGGTATTTGCGAGACACAGCGTCTCCACAACTTGAACCCACAGCCGGACAGCCCTCGATGATGAAATGCACCTAGAAGAACCTGGCAAGCCCACGATGCTGCGGACTCCCTGCCTGCCTCTCACCGATTTACTGGTCGTCTCGCCAAAAGGAAGCCAGGCCCGAAGGCGACGAAGCTGCCGGTCCACACCGTGTGCTGTCTCACTCGGCCGTGATTTTGTCCTATCCGTCGGTACAGTGTGATGGATCGCTGACCTCCCACCTCTCCAGCGGATAAGAGCACCCTGATTGTTGCGGAATTGCGGCCCCTTGAGGAGGAGGAGGAACGAGAGGCCCAACTGTCCGCCGAGCGTGCCGACAAGATGCATTCAAAAACAATGCTTACCAACACATCGCTACCAAGTAGTCCGCGACGTATCCGTACACGGAAGGTTTTCTCGAGTCGATAATTTGGCAGTTCTTCGTTCTTTGTCTCATTAATTGACATAAACCCGGTCGCTCAGCACCATGGGGGATCCATCATCAAGTCCTGGTTCGCGCTATTGACTGACCGCCGACCTGCCGGCCGCGTGCACCACCCAGACACGATAACGATAAGGACCGGGAGGGGGAGGGAGGGTGTCCGTATGGGAGAGAGGGGCTAGCTGTTGGGACCAGCCACCAAGCAACAACCACCTCTCGCCCTCATCTACTGCGCATTCACACTGTCGTACGCCATCCGTATTCCTCGGTTTTCCACCCTCTCATCCCTCTTTCCCATGCCCCTTCTTCACAAATCCCACTTCATGTCTGTTGGTGACCCTATCACCCGGCGGGCTGTGGTCAAAAGTATGGGAGAGGAGGGGCCGTGGGGCTGCTGCGATGGACTTGGACCGTTTGCGCCGGGCCGTTCACACCACCACGCCTCTTCTTGGAAAGCCAACCACCCACTCACCCACTCTCTCTCCCACCACCTCCAAGACGTGCCCCGCCTTAGGCCATGCTCCCTCATCTGCATCAGCAGCACAATCAGCTTTGGTCCCGGGCGGACGATACCATTGCCGGCCCCATTGGATGGATCCCTGACGGTGACTCACTTAGATTCCGAGTCTTGAAAGCTCAGAGTTCAGTCACTCTCCTGAACTGGCCAAAAAGCCGTCCGCTTAACCCTGGTGCTTCATAGATTCAAGATACCCCAACCCTCACTTCCCTGGGTCTGCATTCTCCCATTCTCACGCACCCCCAACCAACAAACTACGTCATAACAGGTTCTAGCTCCCCCTCCCAAAGGAATAGACACGAGGGAAATGCAAGGACCCCGCGGCTTCATCCTGACAAGACCCCAGTCATGACCCTGCTGCAAGACGACCTAGCTTCGAGGAGATGGCGCTTATCCATTGGCTGGAGCCCTTTTTGGTCGGCAACCTCGTCTCTCATTCGTTTTCTAAGCAGCGGGATCCCCGCGACGATCTTCTGAGCCCTGGTTCGCGCTAAGATATAGTGGCCAAGCTCGACACTACTGTTATCGCTTGCTCATGTCTGTCTCTGTCCCTTTCTTCCCTTTCCCCACCTCCCTGTCCGTTCCGTTGTCCCCGTCGCCTGACCAAGTGAGATTTTACTTAATTTCACGGACTTTTCCCGCCAATTCAACGTGTTTTGCTTCAAATGTTCGTCTCATCATCCAGGGCTCCAGGCTCGCCACACGAGTGGACCGCTTCACCATTGCAACTCGAGTCAGCAGGATGGCAAGCACCCAGACGTGCCCATCCATGTCTAATATTCCTCGCCTTGCTCTCGTCGACGGCGGTGGAGGACACACCCTCGGCAAACTTTCCCCTCGGCATCTGTCTACCGTATTTGAGTAGAGCCAAGTCTAAAGCATGAGAGCCAGCTCAGCAGCCTCTGCTAGGCTTTTGGGGGCTTTGATCGTCACTTTCAATCAGCAGTCTGCTGGTCGAAACTCTTACGAGGCTTTTTCTTATAACCTAACCAACGATGACTGGAAACACAACATGTCCGCCCTTCTGTTCCAGTCTCTAGACTTTGTCTAGGCCAGCGCTCATGTGGTCGCCTGCATGACCAATAGTACCCGATTTCGCAAATACCACACGAGACAGAGTTGACTTACACGGAGCGACCTACCTTGATGGTATGAGTAGCAGACTAAAAAAAATCATTCTTGAGTGTCGGTATACCGGCAGCCGGACTACGTGACGGGTTCTGCAGGTGAGCCGCTGAATCTCCATTTGTGAGCATCCGTACAATCAGTCTCACAGCGAGGCCATCGATGCCACGCATGGGGCACACACTTGCCGGACAAACATCATACGCCTGTCTCTCGTTGGCAACATTTCACCTGCGTGCCTGGTTCTGCCGTCCTCGAGTGCCGCAGATGAATGGGCAAACAATCCCCGAGTCGCCGATTGCACGTCCGAGGTATTAAACCGATCCGATGGTCCAGAGCTAGGGATGTTTGCTCCGAAGACTGCTGACTCGGGTCCATGTTTGGACCATCTCTTAGCGGGGGGGCCCAGAACTTCGATGGAAGGATGATGTTCGATTCACGTTTTCGGGTTTGTCGGCCCTTAAATTCCGCCAACGTTACGTTCTCTTAACGATACCTCACCGCATCTTGTCGTCATGCGATTTGCGAAAGCTGATGTTTTTGGTCCCGCTGCTGGCACTTCAGACTCCCATCTGCATTTACTTCAGGGGCAGCTGCTTCTTCTTATGTCTGGCCAGCAGTAGAATTGATGCCCAAGTTTTTGATTGTAAAATAACACGTTTCGAATTCACAATTGTCGATTTCTCCTCTTTTCCAGCTTACAGAGACGGGAAACAGGAGAAGAACCATTCGGTCACTGATGAGGAGCGAAGAATGAATGGCTTCTCCTCCTTCTTTGACGTCCGTCTCATCCTCATAGATGCGGCCCCGGTACTTTGTTACTATTTGTTCCCTTGCAAAAATGGATGAGCTTATACTGCACATCTTTAGTATCGAAACAGTGACATGGCCGGGTCGCTGTAATTGCATTACGAGCAGAGTCACTCAAGCTCTTGAACGTTGAAACTTTGGTTACTCATCGAGGGAAGATCGAGATATGACCGCGACTACCTACCCAGCTGACATCATGTCAGGATGTGTTTTGCTTGAAGCCAAGTTAGGGAAGTAGGATCAACCGCAGTTACTTTCAAAGTCTTGACAGCAATGGATAGACCTTCCCTCTACCAAATTCCAGATGAAACAGTGGACTTTTCTCATCTGGCCAAGTCATGAGTGCTGCTCTAAGAAGTCGTATTTGGAAGACTGATGTCGAGTTTGGCATGTTGCCTCCACCTCTGGGACGGTTGTAACCTCAGCCGCTGCTTTGCGACTGCGGATTTTATGGCCCTCCAGACTGAACGAGGCTAATTCTTTTTGCGCAACAGTCGATATTGTATCTCGCAGTGTTCGAGGAAAAGTCGAGACTACCATTGAGCCCCTTCTTCTTTTGAAAGTACTTTTACCCCTGAGAGATCCGACTGTGATGTGTCTGAAATCAAGCACCTCCTTACTATTTGCCGCGTTGCCCGACCGGAAGATAGTAAGCACGCACACACACAGATACACACACATATATACACCTGCTGCTTCCTACATGACCGTATATATTGTTTTGTGGAAGAAGGCTATTCCAGGACTCTGGTTGCAGATGTTACTCAAAAAAAACATGAAACGCCTCCAAGCAAGTTGAAGCCATTTTCAGTAAATAGTAAGCAACAGAGACTTACTGAATCATTCCATCGTCGTCTCGGTGTACAATAAGAAACGATTTTTTCCATCTTACGGGTACAAGCCAGTGTGGGTTTGGTGTCGGGTTTGGCAGCGACTTGAGAAACGAACAGGTAAACAACCCGAATGATGGAACCCCCCCCCCTTCCTGCTGTAAGCTTTTCAAGTGATTTGGGAAAATCCCAAGCCACAGATGGATATAACATTTCCAGTCTCTGGCAAAACCGAAGCCCCCTCGAAGGATGCCAAAACCATTCTGCGGCTTCGGCTGATGCTCCAAACACAGACTGGAACCATCTTTGGGCTCTTCTGAGGAGTACTCAGGGCCATCCATTACCTGAAATATACTAGATATTCAACCGATTCAGGATATTCGGATGATTTTGGTATATCAAAGCCCTGCTCGAGTATAAGGCCGGCCACCAAATCTCAGAAGCCAAGGCTTTAGATGACAGTCTTAATGAACCGAGACAGAAAGATTGACACTTTAGCTCTCGGGAAATCACTAGAAGCATCGTATGTCAGGTTACACTGTAGTTCGGACCCGGCTAGGCCTACTTCTTTCCACACAAAAAAAAAACAATTAAAAAACAGGGCCATATGTGACCTGGGCATATTCTCAGTCGCTACAAGGAAAACCCACTCGCATCTTGGAACATTTAGGGTTTGATTAGACTGTCGTGTTTCGATCTATAGGATAAAGGCGTCTCTACCTCGATGGCTCATTCTCTCACCTTTTGATCTGTTGGTTACGCGGCGTCTGTACGTAAATAGGCAAGACATGTCAAGAATACCCAGGCATAAAGAATACATCCAGAGAGCCCCAACCTCACAAGGATAGCCATTCGCCATTCTCAATGTTGCAAAGTAGATTTTGGGTGTTTGGAGTCATCCACGAGTCTGGTTCTTCTGTGGCAATCAAACTCCTTTCCCCTCATCCTGTATTAATCCTGCATTCTCTTCTTAACCCAAGACCGCTTTTTGCCGGAGCTGGTATTCAATGTGATAGAAGACTCTTCTGCCACCGTGCTCGTTGGGGTTTTTGAATGTGATGTCTTCAACCCTGCCACATCGGGTGGAATGCTAAGAGAAGGTATTGTGTCGCTTTCAAACAGAGGCTCATGGCTGACGTCTAGAACTTTGGAACACACAAAGTCACCTCCCGAACGATTTTCACAATTTACTACTGTCCTCGGAATCTTTCAATCAAGAAACCATTGAATCATGAAGCCTCTCATGGCAAGCTTACATGGCATGGTCGGTTCTACATGTCCCCAGGGCCTTGATGCATTAAAATGCCATCACAACCAGCTTAGCGATACAGGGAAAGATGAGCTCATGAAGCAAAAAAGAAGAGCCCGGAGTCCCTATCAACTTTTGGCAAATGCTCACAATGTTCTGGATGCCATCTAGATGCCCTGCTCTTACAATACTCGACATCGTAAGGAGCCAAACTCGGACATCTTCCATCACCAACTAAGTGAGCCAACGGCCGTAAGATGTTTGGTCTTCATGTTTGGAATTCAACGCGCACTCAAACTTTCATGATTCATTGCCTGTGTTCATTCCAATTTATAGTTACACTCACCGTATACAGGTCCCGAAGAAATGACCTTAGCAAAATATATTACGTGCAGCCCTTCCTACCTGCTCAGAGTTTCTCCTAAGAATGATGAAGAAGGGTAGAAATCCAACATCAATCTAAGAGCCCTTATAGGTCCTTATAGCAGCTCAGTCATAGCGAGAGATCGAGCCCAAGTATATGTGGCTACGGGGATTGATGAGTATCGAGGACCTCCCCATGTCGTGAAAGTTGCCAACTACTTTTAAACCACACCAATATTGACCAATCTGCCGCTCTCGGGCCTGCTAATACACCATATTCACGGAAAAACGTATACCCATAGATATACATACACCTCTCATCGGAGTGATGTAGGTTGCAGATAATGAAGCAAACCCCCGAAGCTGGCCTACTGTACTTCTCCCAGCCCCCAAAAAAGTTGAGAAGACAGACGTTTGAAATCAAAATATGATTGCGAATAAGACCAAGTTGAATCCTACGGACTGCCTCATGGCATTGTGGCTGGAGCGAACAGAAATACAAGAACGCTCAACCCTACCCTCCCCCAACCCGTGGCACTCGAGAGTGTCTGACACCATTGACACCTCCGTTGGGCCGACGGCAAATGAGATGGAATCAGAGCTAATTCCTGCCAGCGACTATCGTGCAATCAAATTGAACCAACAACTTCGTCCAAGAGAAGACTCGAAGCAAGACGTAGATCAAAATGACGATACGTATCGCCTTACCATCGGAACGGTCCGTTCAGAAAGCGCGCGGAACCAGGCATCCCGTTCACTGTGAGCCTTACTCAACAGTCACCGCATCTGCCATGTAACGATATATTGGCTACTGAACATGACTTGATTGGGTATCGTAGCTGTTATTGTCTGTTTCAAAACGTGGCCCTGCAGACGAGCTGCAGGTTCTTAATACAGTTTAGGTGTTCCTCGTCATGATGATCCATCTAGCATCTCCATACCGCGACCAGTCTCTCCTCTTCCGTGGGAGTGACCTATACAGCTCACTTCCATCCCGCTCATTTTTTTGGCAGTCGGTACTTTCCACCGACCAGCTCCAATTCTTCCATCGCCATCTTTTCCGCAAGAAACTCCTGCAGCTCCTCGTTGCTCCATGGGAAACCGTCCGCTATCAACATCTTCATCATCATGGCGATTTGGCCCAGTGGCATAGCTGGACTCGAGTTGGTAAGCATGCCGACAATGAACTGCCAGTACACCTGTCGACGTTCCTTCTCCTTAGCATCTAAGGCGCCAGGCTTCTTGGGCGAGATATCGCCTGATTCGGGCGCCGGAGCATCATCGGGGCCAGGTCCAGGTGGCTTCCCTCCATCGTCGGCATTGTCATCTAGCTTCTCAATGACGATAAAGGTGCCCGACTCGATCTCGCGGAGGACACGCTGACCGACCCAGAACGAGAGAGCGGAGCGAATCAGATCGTCATCCATTTGTAGTATGTCCTCAAGCTGGTCAACTTTGCGACGTACGGGAAGCGGCCCGCTGTAGGTTTCATCTTCTTGGAAAGCATAGATGACAACGGCTTCGTACGTCTTGCACTCCTTCTCAACTGTTCTGTCTTCAAGTTCGAGGTTGACGGTGGCATTGCCAAGATTGTTGAGCCATGTCAGCTTACGGTTAGACTTGAGGCGCTCGAACTCGCCTTCATACTGCCCTTGACCCTCGGTGACAGGCCCTGGCAAGATGAAATGCTCTCTGTCCATAGTTGGCCAGAAGAGCCGAGAAAGAATCTTGGTATGGTAGGACGGAGCGTTGTGAGCCTTTCGGACGGGGCCACCGAGATAGCCTGTCCTGATCGTCTTGGAGATGATGGAGTCAACTTTCTTCGAGTCTTGGATGTCCTTGATCATGACGTCGCAGTTTTGCAAGGCATTATCTCCAAACCGCTTCTTCAGTAGATTGAGCACACGAATCTCTTGGCTGAACTCGACCTGTGTAGACAGCAATCTTTCTGCGATAATGTTCTGGAACTCCTTGATGAAGATATCCTGAGAGCCCAAAGCGCTAATCAAGGTCCCGATGACGTCCTCTGATTTGGGCCGCTTGTAGTTGACTCCGGCATCAACGGGATCAGGAATCCATTCCATATCGTCCCAGTCCAGTTCCTCATCGTCCACGGCAGGCCGTCTCTGCTGTGACGGATCATTGAGAAGAATGGCGAGCTCAACAAGCTTGATATTGCCTGTCTCGGCATTTGGGTCGTCCGGATTCGATAGTAGTCCTGTCACTACGATCGGAATGGCATCATCTCTCTGGCATAAGTAAAGCTGCAGCGAATGTACCACACGGTCCAATAGGACTTTGGAATGGTCCAGAGCATGGAAGGTCCTGATCATGGAAATGTACACGCGGAGTATGTCCAATGTCGACCGTCCGGGATGCAACAACCGTTTCTGTAACGCTGCTGAAAACGTGTCCGTCAGTTGTAGCCGTCTTTGCGGCGTTGTGATTGCCATTCGGAGGTCGTCAAGAGCGCCTCTACTCTGTGGCCATCGGAGAACGATGTCGAAGAGTTCATGGATACGCATAACTGCCAACCGTCCAACGGCAATCTCCTTCCACTTTTCGACATCGGTCCAAGCAATGTCCCCGCTGCCGAGGCGAGCAAATACCTCGACTGCTAGCCGCGAGTAGTGGTTTTCAACCCAGCTGCATAGTGCAGTAATGCAGCGTGAAGGTGTGCCAAGTTTGGTGGCGCGAGGCACAGACGAGGCGCGCGGAGCATCCTTGCCGCCATCTGATTTCGACTGCGTCCAGGCGCCCGCGAATGACGTTCTGATGTGCTCCACCATCATGGCGTCCATGAGTTCGGCTAACAGGACCTGGAACCTCTCCCCTGCTAGGCCTACTTTGTGCAGTGCCTCAATCAGTTGCAGGAGCTCTTGCCGCGCTGCCGCTGTCGCTCCAGCTGCTGCCTGGCTGTCTCCTTCGAGGTCGGTTTCCCGAGATTCTCCGGGGGGAGATTGCGTGGTCTGCATGCCCAGAACTACCCTCATCAAGCGACTTAGAACAGCTCGGAGGGACTCCATAAGCGCCTGCGACATGGAGTTGCCGATGACTGCGTGTAAATCACGCCGGAACTTGTCGACGGCGATATCTGCATGCTTATTATCGAGACCCCGCACGATAAGAGACAACCCGTAGAGATACTGGCGGTGAGCTGCTTCCAGAGTATGGATGCTTCCTAGAAGTACCTGTGCCTGGTCACCGTACGTGTTGCATGCGGAAAGTAGGGGGAGGACATGTTGGGCGAAATGGTGGCGAACCTGCTGGGTATGCCAGGAAAGAATGTCCTCGGTAACAGCGGCGTGCTCGACATGCTCCCCTGGATGGAGCACCAGCTTAAGACTGTCATAAAAGTCTGCGTCGTAGTCCTGGGATTCTGGAGCCAGAGTGCCAAACGAGTCCTCAGCGGCCACCGACGGGGGAAGTTGAATACGACTCGTCACTATGTGCCATGCTTGGTCCCACCGGACTTGATCGCTGGTCTGCATGGAAGAATGGGATTTTGGGCGCCGTGATGAAGGCGAAGCGTGGATGTCCGAATGCTTGCCATTACCGGGGAAGTGCAGGCGAGAGGGTGATTGACGGTGTGGTGGTGGTGATGGTGCGCCGCCAAATGGCTCTCCCTGCGACTTCAACGTCTGAGAAGGTGTCGAATGAGGAGCGGGTTGCGAGATTTCGGAGTCAAAGACCGATTTGAACACGCTCTGTCTCTTGCCGCTCCACCTCGAGGGCGCGGCGCTCATTATCGTGGTCATGACGGCTTGATGATTGCACCCAGACGCGCTTAAGCGAAAGGATTCGAGGCTTGCCTCATTGCAGAATCTCGGCCAGGATGATGTGGTGACTCAATTAGGAAGTCGCAACAAAGCTGATTGACGGTATCTATTCTCGAGGGTTGCCTTGCTGTCGCAGTTGTTGTTGATTTCCAGGTTGGATGGTGGTGTTTACTTTGTTTGGCGGTGATGTGTGGTTTAAGCGCTGCGCTTAGAATGCGGACCTATCGCTGTGTCGCGCTTAATTCTCCCGCAGCTGGCGACAGGCGCTAGCGCGGCCTACATGGTCCAACTGGCAAACCCGAGTGGAAGGAACGCCCGGAGCGGCAGCCATGAAGCGAGACAGGCGCACATTCTGCTGGTACGTGCATCAAGGAATGGCCGTCGGATGTCCAATGCACATTCAAGAAACACTGTATAAAACACAGTATACATAGCCGCCCTGGTCGAGCTACATTTACACCCTCCGATGTCGACACCCTTGTATGCACTCACCCCCCCCCCCTCTTTATGCAGTGCAATACGTACTGCCTACCCTCTTTCTCTTTCGCTTAAGTTGTCTGCTGCACACCTCCAGTGTCTTCCCTGCCCTCATCTACCTTAAGCTACCGCGGAATTCGACCATGTCCACGGACGACTCCCGATGCAAACTCGCGGCCTTATGATCAAGCTACAAAGAACAAAGATTCAAAATCCGCCGGAAGGAAGTATTATGCCTTGCTAGGCATATTGCCCAAAGGCCATGAAGAAGTCATTCCAGCGTCGTTGCCATCAGCCCACAAATGCTCGCCTAAAGCGCCCGCAGCCGCTCTTCCCTGTCGAGCATGGTCGAGGGCATGTCTTCGAGTGGTATCTCACTTACGACAGGTGTGGGGTAACGAGACGAAGGATTGAGACAAGCAGCCTCGAACCTGTACCTGAGATTCAGATACAATTGCGCCCTCGCTGTATCTCCTTGAGGTTTGTGCGTCCAGTTCCAGATCCCCTTCCACGAGCTCTTACTGTGGTCCGGCGGCGGTACGGATACCTGGTTTTGTCTCCTGTGTCTTCTGTGTACAAGCATGCAGGTGCCGGTGAGCTCAGACTCGTCTTTTGCTCCTCCAATTGTCACAGGAAGAGCCGAACTATCTCCAAACCCTCAATCGTACCGCCAAGAGCCTATAACGCGTTCTTTCCATAGATCGCCAGCGACTGACTGCGTTTCGTATCCAGACGTGGAGTATTGCTGGCCAGTGCGCAATATCATGAGCACTCTCAAAACCGTCCGAGGATTCTAGTCTCGACTTGGTTGTCGATTGGCCGCCTCCTCGATCAGCACAAAGAAGCAGGACCATCCCAAGTAACGGGCGCGGCGGCACTCCACGGCTGGGGCGATTCGCATTCAAAGTTCAGTAGCTGTCGCGTCATCCGGATACCCCAATTCGTATGCATATCAACATCGCACGTTGTCGGCTCGTCTGTCCGGCCAGGAAGATTTGCGCGGGAGTACACGAACGAATCGAGGTCAAGACAATCTGGCCAAAAAGTGGTTCAAACACCGAAGCGCCGCGGCCTTATCCCAATTGGCCACCTTCATGACCGATCACAGCTTCACGGGTCATCAAGCCTATTCCTTCGAAGCGGGGAAATGCGAACTCCACGAGTCAACGGAATTATCGAGAGAGTGGAGGCCTTCGGCTCCGAGACACTCAGGCGTTTGCTGTCTCCTGACTTGGTCATTTCCACCGTCATTACCCCGAATGAAGTTGGTCAACACGAGAATGGGCAAGCATGCCATGGGCCACCCTGGTTATTCAGCATAGGCTTGCCTATACAGGGAGGCTGCCACGTCTTCAAGATGGACCCTACTAACTGCCAGCCTTGAGCTGTTGGATGGGGCTTACCATGCTTCTGGTAAAGCTTACCATTCTGGTCGTCAACGCTTCGTCGCTCTTCGTCAACCACTGGGCCCATGTTCTGAAAACGACCGCTTATGCAATCCTCCCGATCCGAACGCCCGCTCATCAGGGGTCACGGCTCCATGGCTTCCCCCCAACGTCTGCTTGCAAATAGAAGCAGCCGGTAGACGAGATAATGTATGCTTGAAGGCGGCACAGTCCTTTCCAGAGCTTCCATGTGGCTGTTACACTGTCGCCTTATGAGCCGGCCCCTGATTTACAAACACCATTAGCCGTCGACCTGGCTTGTTGCTTCATGATCCTTTTCAAGTGATACACCGCAATTATACACGAGCTCACCTGCTGCTGACTTCGCCGCTTCGCGCCCAAGAGGGCTGGCTTCTGGGCTGCCAGCCTCCAGCGCAGTGAAGAGTAAATCAGAATGAATGGGGATGGACTGGACTATGAGATGCCCCCAACCGGCACGGCAGTAGATTAAGCCACAAACCTTGTCGACATTCTCCAGCCTAGCCCATCAGTGGATCTTGAATAAATCTGCTGCCTGGAAGCCATCTTGATCTGTACAGGTCGTCAACCTAACCGCAGTGCGCAGGCGTCAGGGGAGCCGACGAGCGGCAAACGAGTGTCTGTAAAGACTTCTTCTTGCGCCACCGGTCGACCGCCAGAGCGGCGTCTTTCTAGGACTTGGGAGCGGGAGCTCTGCTAGTCCATCGCCATGAACTCCCTGGACCTTGATATACGCTATGAGCAAACCTTCGTTTCTCTAGATGTGAGGCCTCTCGTTCTGGAGCCTGAAATCGGCAGTTGAATAAACGCAGCTTACTCCGCAAGCGACAGGATGACACCCTACGGTTGTGGCGTACCTAGGTTGTTGAGGTGGTTGACAGAGAAGGGACTACTCGTTTGGCGGCCCGAAGCACTCATGACTAAGTTACTTAGTAGGGACATCTGAAATCCCTCGAGCTCTGGCTTCTGCGCCATCAACGGATTTTAATGCAACGAGACTTTGGACAACGAGAAGAAAATCGGTGGTACACCAGGAAATCCCGAACGACCAGTCAAGGAAGCAGCCGCAGCTAGCCAGGCTATGACCTGGCGTCTCAGGTCAAACCTGCTGCGCCTACTTCGCTAACTGTATCATCGAATTACAGACGCTTGATGAGTCTCGAAGGATTGAACTTGCAGCTCGCATGGCGGCCAATAGGACCAAGATACGCCGCTTGTCGTTGGGTATTTTGTCCAATGGCACGCGAGGAGAGGAGACGAACACAGCATATCAGGATCTGTCGCGACTCACAGCCTGTTGTCGTGCCCTCAGAGTGGACCACTGCCAACGTAACCTCACTTAAGGTGCTTCCCCAAAACGGTAAGAGATGGGTCCCTTACTTTTCCGGGTCGCCGGAGTCACCGCTCCACGTGAGAAGTTGAGCGTTGTTTATCCTGCTTACATAACACGTCAGAAGTCGATCTTTGGCCCCCAAACCCGCGACGAACGGGAAGGGCCCATCATGCGTTGGTTGGTTGGTGAGTTTTCACGACCGCTTCGGCGGTAGCTGAAGCTACTTTTCGCACCGTCGTCTATGTCTCATGGGAAATTGTCAAACTCCTGCAGATTCTGAAACTCCAGCGAGTATGAGCGTCTCCTGCTACAGACTTGAGCTTGCGTATCTTCATGACTCCAAGTAGTCTGCAGCAAGCCTCCCTAGACCTGTCTCAAGGTCGTTTGTCAGGAGGTAAGATAATCGAGTCTGACAGAAGTCGTCGTGTTACCTTGGCCACCGCCGTGCCCATCGCAGAATTCTTCGGGTTCTCCGAATTCTGCCCCTCATCAGTTTTCCCCGACCCTTTTCATTGGCGATGCCAAGCCTCCAAGTGCCAGTCGTCCTGGAGAGGCCCTTTTATGGGTGTGGATTGCGAGGTCGCAAATGATACATCAAGCCGCGCAAAAGAGGCCCGGATGACAACACCGACATGCCCGACGGTCCTAGGGCCCAGTCCCCCGTTCGCAGACATTCACCGACGGGCGTAATGGGGCCGAACGCGCACGAGAATTCGGGACCAGGGTCGGATTGCCACGGAAGCTCGGGGATCATTTGAAGTCATCTGGGTCTGCCGATATGTGCATGTGGATCATGAGGCCACTCTAGCAATCTCGAGTGGTTGGCATAGCACTCATCCGCCGAGACTAGCGTTTACCTAGCACAGGGAGCCCCCAGATCACATCTCAAGAGGGCCCGATTATTGCTACCTGCGGATATAGGCGACGGATATCCGTACTTGCAAGGTAACTATGCGTTCAAGGTGTTTACTCCCGAGCCTGCCCGGGAGTAAAATCGAGGTTACAGAGGACTGCAACTCCGTAACCTGGAGGTTGGATCCAGAAAACAGGGACCAATCATCGCCCATCTCAAGTGTTGCCGCCAAGCACCTTTGGTATCCGTGCTCTTGCAGTGGCCGGACGAGCAGGTTTACTTACCATTGCCAAACCCCACCGATACTGACCCCCTTCGCGGCCCCCCACCCCTCCGTGGCTCCTATTTACGGGGTTTTGATCTTTAGTCGCGCTTTCCTTGAATCACATCGAACAGGGCCTTCCGTGTCATAGTTGAGTGTTGGGCGCGGAGAATCCATGGACGCGAGGAAGAGTAGAACGATGTGTTCGTCTCTACTCTCATCTTTCAGGTGACATGGATTGGTCTGATACCAAGGAAGACGTCAAGCAAGAACGAATGTTTGACCGTCCACTAACGGGCACAAGATTCTCCTCGCTCTGTCTTTCAACCCTGGTTCGGCATTTCGCCGCATGTGCATGCTCGACGCTCAAGGTAGGCGTATTAAGATAGATGACCTCAGACTCTATCAAGTGCCTCTTCTCCCCTTTCTCTCATCTGCACGTTCAGCCCATGGATGATGCCGTTCCCCTCTTCCCACAAAAGCCGCTTATCTCCAGGCTCACGGCTCTCTCGCCTCGCCTTCCTACCTGGCTTTCCCCTGTAAGCCATGTGCTTCATAGGGCAGGGCCTCTCCTCGGAAGGGTCTCAGAAGAGAGCAGATTGGGTTGTACGGGAAGGCCACTCGGGGTGTGGAGGAAGAGCGAGGTACCTGTTGTCACTACGACGTTGTCGCACTTGGCAAAGCTAAGGTTGCAATAGGTACCGACTTTTGGCCCCTGCGAGAGTTTCGGGTAGCGACTTCAACTGGTCGCTCCAACCGGGGTTTATTATCTTGGGGGCGGAGAGACAGGCACGAGCCAGAACCAAGGATGGACGTCTTCATTGAATCCAGCAAGGATTTCGGACGGGGGCTTCCTCGGGACCAAAGGTTCAACGTCAAGGATAGTGTCTCTGGAGGTTACGGGATATATGCGTCACCATCGAGAAGTGACAATATGGGGAGACAGAATTGCATGTCCAGCATTGACTGGAAGAATAACTCTTGACTGATTCAGCCTGCCACTTCAATGCCTCAAGGCTTCTAACTGGGAGAAAAGGAGGTAACATAAACATAGACAAAGTATGGTCGTGCCTACGAACGTGTATCCGTACAGAGGGCCTTGCACTTTCTTCACCTGTATCCGCAGCGTCCCCTACACCCTGTTCCCTGCACCCTGCACCCTGCCACGCCTGCCTCCTCGTCTGTCGGGTGAGGGCTGACAGGCGGCGGGGTGGGACCCTCTTCGAGTCCGGACGGTCCAGTGATGTGTCTCTGGCACCTTCGCTGTGTCGCTCTCAACCCTGGCCAGCCCTTTCCGATCCATGACCAGGCCGTCGACACCAACCGGGTGGCACCCACGTCGTCCTTTTCTTGCACTGCATCTGCATTGCATGGCTCCTCAATCCCACGTTGATCTCAGACTGGGCCACCTTTGTCCCTGTGTCCCTTTGTCCCGTTGTCATTGTCGGACTCGGAGGATGACACGCCCTTGACGCAGCACCACTTGGTCCTGTGCCTCATCCTTCCGCGGAAGGACCTCGGAGAGGCGCGTGGACGTCGCGGAGCCATCGACGGGGCACCCTCAGGGCCAGAGGAGCAAGCGACGATATCGTCATCGTCTTCGGATGTAGAGTAGGCCGAAGTCCAACGAAGATGACCACCACCACCACCACCGCGCAAGTACACGCACTACTTGCGTCAACAGCCGCGGTGCGTCGCCGGCGGCGGCCAGCCCGTCTATTCCTTCTCGCCCTGGCGGCCCGTTCCAAGCCTCAAATTCTCAAAAGCAAAAACTCATCTCAACTCAAACTAGACTCGTGCATCTCCAGTTCGACCTTATTTTGAGGCCTAAAGACAGGCTTGTTGCGATCACCCCCTCAACTCCGATCCCCATCCATAATCAGATGGCGTCGACGGACGTTGAACCGGACTTCGTTAGGGGACGCTGCAACCTCACAACGCCTTCCCTACAAATTAGGACCCGTACTATTTCCATCGCGGCTGTGTCGAACGGGGGTAGGGGTGAAGGCGGGGGTCCCACACCACCAAATGTTTTCCTCTTACATGGAGTATGAAGTACGTACCTCGCCTTACCTGCACTCTCGGTACGGTGCGTATCCCAGTCATATTCCCCTCACCTTGCTTATTGTTCTTCGCTCACCGTATCGCAGCCCGCTTGGCGTAGAAGAACGCAAAACCCTGAGGTTCGATTTTCTGCTCGTGCAAATTCAGGCCTGCCTCTCCGGGACCAGAGTATAGACGATCGGATACGGATACGCTGGCAGAGTACGGCGACGTCCAGTAGCCCGTCTGCAAGTTGACTTCGTTGCCTTGACTGGACCTGGGTCGTCTGCGACGGCGATCGCTGCCCGTTCTCCCTTGTGTGCCCTGGAGCCCGGGTCCCAGGTTCCTAGTCCCAGCCAGGTCCAGGTCCAGGTCCATTGCGACGGGAGGCGGGTCTTCAATTGCCCGCCGGGATTAGGTACACTAGACAAAAGAGGCTTGGGTTGTGTCGACGGGCCCCCTCCTGCGTTGCCTTGCCCGATGGCAGCATGCAAGTCGGCCAGCCTGATTCGGCCGACTGCATCCTCAGACTTCTGCTCTCTTCAGAGTCTTCATTGCATGCGTCGCTCAACTCTGTAAGGTCTACAAACTAGCGATTTTCTCTGGGGTTTTAGTCCCATGAACGTCAAGTCGGTCATGCTCGAGAAAATGCGAACCTCGCTGCCCCTGTCTCTCTGGCCAAAAGGTCAAAATGACATGGGTGATGGGGATATCGAGAAGAAAGCACTCTCATCAGCACCCAATCTGCGCGTCTGACTTTCGCCTTGTCCGTTTGTATGATGCCGATCCTACGCCAGTCGACCCGTTAACTTGGTAAAGCATCTTTCGACTCCATGGCTCTTCAACGTCACACGGCAGGCACTTACTTGCGGCGGCTCTGCTCGCCGTACCAGCTCCAGGACTACGACTCACGAATGAGACGCTCTGGTGCCATCCCAAGCCATGAATGGTATCATTCATTGATCTGCAGAGTGCGTCAAAGCTTTCTACTGACTACGCGCCGTCTCGGTCCGGCACCGGCGCGAAGAAGGGACCTCTATCAACTATCCAGAAGCCCCATAGTTTCTCGATATCATCCGATGGCCCTCGATTCCGGCAGGCGGTAGCAAGCAAGCAAGCGAGATGGGATGCTGGGCGCGCCGCGTACCAGATCATGCACTAGATGACATTCCCTCACACCTCCCCGTACACGTGGACGATAGATTGCTTCCCGCCGGTGGCCTGGAATTGCAGCCCCACGATCCGTGGGTTCCACGGCTGGGAACCGGGAATTCCACCCGAGCTCTTGAGTCTCCGCCGGGCCCTTGCAAACGTCGGATAAAGCACGCCTGTCTCCTGACCAACTCCGCTCGACTGATCTTGACATCACTGGGAAGCACCCGGCTCATAGCTCGCTTGGCGCTGGCGCTTATGCATCAGCGTCCCCCTTATGGACGGAGAGCGACTCCGAAAGCTGGGACCTCTCCTCCTATGGCTGTCGCCGGAAGTGTCGTCGCTGCCCCCCCTCTTCTTCCATCCAAACCTTGGCCCATCCGACGTCTAACCCTCCACAACCCGTCGTATCTCCATTCTGACGAATTGACAAAAGATCCAACGACATCGGATGCAAAGCAACGTAAGTTACTCAAATTCCCAGCTTACTCGTCCCCATTTTCCCGTACGGAGTACCGCATTCCAAATACAATTAGCTACGCCGCATGATCGGAGGAGCTCCATTGTCATTTCGTAAAACCCCCCCCCTCTTAGTAAAAAAAAATTAAAAAAATGCTTATTGTTCCCTCCTCTGTACGGATACGTCTGGAAGAGAGAAGGGTGGAACCCTGCCTTGCAAACAACTCTGGTTTTCTTCTTTTCCGCTCCTGCGGCCGCCTTGACAAGGGTCCCAGCGTAGCGGCGCCTTTTGGCGGCCGCTAACAACAACAATTGCTCCTTGAGCCTGCCCCGTGTCAAATTTCTATTGTTTTGAACAGTGGCCCTTTCTCTCCTCTCTCTTTCTTTCTCTCTCTATCTCTCTCTCTCCCTCTCTCTCGGGCCCTAGCTTGGGTAGCTTGGTGGTTTTCACGGAGGTAACAAATGCCCGAAACAGAGAAAGGGGTGGGGTAGGAGGAACTTGAGAGACATTGCGGGCTGCCGGTTGCGGGCGATTCACCAATTTCGAGATGACCAGGGGTCAAGCGAAAAGTGCCGGGGTTGCAGAGGCTTTTTTTTTTCTTTCTTTTTTCTCCTTCTCACGCTTCACTGCTACCCCCTGTTTGTCTTTCACATGTACGAATACGGATAAACCGAAGCTTGCGATAAGGCAGATGTGAAAGCGAAGGGGATGAAAATTAATTCGATATGACGTGCGTTCTAGCATGATTGTAATTCATCCTGCAAGGCAACAAGGTTTGTTTTCTCCCAAAAATGTCGGCTGTCACGTTCGTTGATTTGCCCGCACTGTTGCCCTCAAGCAGAAAAATTAAGGATTTCTCCACGGAACACGGATGTCATGTCCGTCTACTGGGACAGAAAATTGGGTTTCTTTTCCCACGTCAAAGAGCTTGGTTGCATGTCTCCAGTTTTGTATTGACGCACCGAGAGATAGAGATTGGATGCAAGGTATGTAGAAAGATGCGTTCTTGTGACGCTAGTGAAAGGGTATATTTCGTGATTCATCGATGTCGATATCGAAAAAATGAGTAGAAGAAGAAATGCCATCTAGACGCTGCCGTCTTGAGCCGTTGTGCTGCTACTGCGGCTATTTTCATGCAGAAAGGCCGTAGAAAAAAAAAAGAGCCTTCCAAAATTGTCGTGAGAACAGGAAAAGGCGATGAAGCGAAAAAAATAAATAAAGCCAAAAAAACACCTCCCCAAAGAATACCCAAAAAAGAGAATCAAAAATCAAATGAACATCCGAGAAAAAATGACCGAGAACTCCTCCTAAAAGCGTGCCAATGACGAGTTCATTGGACAACTTTTACCAATGTGACTCCCCCCCTCCTTTCCGTCGATACTTTTGTGACCCTGCCCTCTGCCTCTCTCGCTTCCTCTTCAAATAAACCCAAACATGTACAGTTCGAATGATAAACCGGATCCCCGCCCGCCCTCTCCTTTTCCGCAAATAGCACGGCCGTAAGGTCCTTGCGTGGCTTGCGTGTGTGTTGGAAAAAGGGACTTTTGTCGACTTTGCCGGCTCTGCTCTCTTTCGCGTACTGTTGGTTTCTAAACCAACAGCACTCACGTGTTTCGGCGCTGCTTGCACTTGTCGTGGAGAAGGTGGCCGTTCCTCGCTGTTGTCCTCGTGAATTCGGCGCCGCAGTTAGGGCATGTCGCCTTGGTTGCCTGCCCAGACTTTTCCCTTTGATGCCTCAGGAGGTTGCTAAAGGTCGAAAATTGTCTTCCGTTGCAGCCGTGCTCCCAACACTGGGGTTTGGGCCGGCTCTGCACCACTCGAACGTGGCCCCCTTGGTCCGGGGCCCCGGGGCCCATCGGAGGCGGCACGCCATACATCAGGTTCGGGTCTTGTCCAACGGGCATCGAGTGTCGGCTTCTGCGTTGGTTCTTGTTAGTTTCAGATTGCCTTGTTGGCCCCCCGTTTTGGTGGGTTTCTCGCAACATACCCGTATTGCGCTGGTGGTTGGAACTGGTTGGAGTAGTCCATGCCACCCATGTTGTAAGCCTGGTTCATCGGCGGGTATCCGCTCTGGTAGCCATGGTCTGATAGAGGTGGGCTGTAAGACGGCAGGTACGATGATGACCCCATTGAAGTCGTTGGCTCTGCGAGTAGGGAAATTGACGCTGGTGCTGTCGTGTACACGGGTACGCCCATGGTCGAAGAGACGTCAGGTAGGCTGAGGGGAGGCGAATGGATGTACGGGTTGCTACCGGCTCTGTGGACGCGCTGTGACGTCTTGGAATCCCGGCGAGCCATGTCCCTCTGCTTCTTCAGTTCCCTCTGCTCCGGCGTCAAAGCCCCCCGTGGCGGACTTGACGTTACTGATCTGGATCCACTCGGGGGTGTGAGGCTGGCGTCTTGGTGGTGTCCGAGAGAAGAGAGGTTGTGGCCAAGTAATGATCCGCTGGCTTCGGGGTTGTCGAGGCCTTCAGTTTGAGCATGTTAGATGATCCCAGAGCGTTACAAGAGGGGAGTTCAAGTGGAAGGCTAATTACCAGGCCAGGTGAATGCTGATCGGCTACCCATGGTGAATGAAGGGTCAAATGGAATAGCAACAGTGCTGGAGAAAGAGGAAGTGTTAGACGGGCTTTATAGTCTAGTTTGGTACAATGATGGGAGCGCACCTCATGCTTGCTCCGGTTCGTAGTGGCGGAGAGGACTGGTTAGAAGAGTAGTCCTGGGCGGGGTCCACTCTGACTAGAGGGGTCGAATCCGAAGTGTGATGTACCTCGTGTTCGTTCCACTCTGCGTTCAAGATCTCGGGTGGTAGGAGAGGGAAAGGCGAGTATCCTTGTGAGTTGGAGGTTGAAAGAAAGGTTACGGAGTTGGGCGGGTTGGGACTGATATAGCCGGAGGAATGGAGAGCCTCAGACCTGACCGAGGGGCTGGACTCTAACGGTAGCGTTCTAGGGGAATCGACTAATTGGATGTTGGCGAATTGAGCAGCAGTAGCTGATACGCGGCTCCCTGCTCTGGATCTGGGTGGAAGTGAGTAAGAGTCCTCGCAACCCTGCTCAGAAAGACTGGAAGCCATTGATAAAGAAGAAGGACGAAGATGAAGAAACTCTGGATGGCACATACGGGCGAGGCTGTTGAAGAGTCGAAGTCGAGATGTACTTGTTGCGAGAGTCTACCTTTGATGTGTATGTCCAAGCGTCGTTACCAGTTGATGAAGTGTATCAAGCCAGTGACGATGTTTGATACTCAGAGACCCGGATCGACGACTTATAACGAGACCAGTGCGATCAGGCAACGATTTCGCGGTCTGCAGAAGGAAGGATTGCTTGCTTGCCAGGTGGAGGCTTTCGGTTCAACGAGATCACAGATGCTAAACTTGGATATCACCAGAAGGTTAAAGATCTCAGCCTCATAGGCCCAGGAGCGGGCACTGTCTTATAAATGGCAAGCGGGCAGTGAAAGCTGTGGAGATGGTAGCCAGACCCCGACCTCTCGACGTACCTTTTCATCGCATGAGAGGAGGGAAGACACCAGATGGGCATGTTCAAAGAGACAAGCTACACTACATGGAGGTAAGTCCAGACGGTGGACAGGGGCTCAGGGTGAGAAGAGATGGGATTGAGTGACCAGGATGGAGAACAGAGTAAGGTACCAGCGCCCATGGTGTATACTGTTATAAATGGGGAGGGGTGTGGTCGCAACGGCCAAGGGGACGAGGGGCGTGTGTATCTGTGTATGTGTGTGGGATGGGGAACGAGGTCAGACTGCTGTGCTGCTTAGGGGAGATGGAGGGGGGTGTAAACGCGGTTGGGAGCGGGCGAGAGAGTTCCTAGCGCAGTGTGTAAGAGCGAGAGCGCGCGCAGGGCGCAGAGCGGAGGCACGCTGCTAGAGGTGTGTGAGCGAGCGAGTGAGAGTGACATGCAATAATTAGGACCTGGGGGAGTGAGGGTTGCTAGAGGGGAATGATGGGCAGATGGGCACAGTCGACGAGTGAAGAAAGACATGGGGCTGTGGCGGGGACGGGGAAGGGATCGATAGGCTCCAGCATTTCCAGCAAAAGCATTGGCAGCCGTAACGAAAACGCCCTGGTCAACGTCCCTGCTGGACGGGCTGCAGGACCATGGCTAGTGCGCACTAAAGCACTGTAAGGTAAACAGAGGTGTGGAAAGTAGAGGATGGATGACATCGCTCGAGCCCTGGCTGGCCGCCAGAGACGGGCCACTGGGTTCTGGGTTCTTGGTTCTGGGTCTGTTCTGTTGGTGCTGGGCCTCGAGAAAGGCTCAAGGAGACGACGGTCCACGTCCCAGCTGGTCTGTGATCGGGAAAGAGTGGGTAATGGGACTTCGACTGGCCTTATTCCCTATTGGGGCAGCCGTTTCGACATCGACGGGGAACTAGGGGCCGTGTTTGTATGAATGCTACGTACCCTGGGCTGAGAGCGGTCGATCCGACGAGGTGCAATTCTAGCAAGCCAGGACTAAGGAACCGCTGCGCGCGCAAGAAGAGACCGCGGAAATATGAATTGATGTGGTATTGGGATGCTGGACCTAGCCGGTGTGTGTATGTGTATGTGTATGTGTGTGGGTGTGTGTGTGTGTGTGTGTGTGTGTCCCGAGAAAGACTGTGTGTGGTTGAATGCGTGTGTAGCATCCTGTGTCCATGTCCCCTTCAGGTTGTCCAAGTTGCAGTAGGTAGGTGACTGAACACTGGGCCCCAGGAAATGGCAGCGTTGGGCTGGGAGCCAGTACGTCGGGACGGCGGTTTTGCGTAGCAAACCTAGCCCGGCATTGGACAGGCAGAGGCAGGTTGGTTGGTCCGATGGGCTGTGACGCTGCCTTGTCCAACGACGTAAACCAATTTCGATTTTATTCTTCTCTTTTTGCTTTTTCGATTCGTCTGCTTCCTTGGCAGTACCGACCGCAAGCCAGGTGCCGGGAAGCACCGGTACCGAATTCCCAACTCCAGATGGAAGAACCACCTGCTTCGGTAGAAGAAGACCGTTTGACGAAGGACGCGGACCCTAGATGCTCTAATCGGCGGCTTGTACAGTGCCCACAACCACTGGCGACTCGAATTGGGGACGAAGGAAGCGCAAGCCAGTCCATCCCGCTGCATTGCAGAATAACAAGACGCCTGGATAGGTAAGGCGAAGACGGAAAAGTGACACGGGAGGGCTGTTCAGAACGGGCTAGATCTTGACCTTCTCCATCGAAGTGCAGGCGGCGTTCAACAGAGAGATTGCTTGAGGACGTGCTCGCAAAACGGAGGCGGACGGGAAGGAGACGGACAAGGAAGACGCAGAGAAACAGGTGCGGCAAAGGGTGAGGGAAAGACAAGTACATTGAACTACTCCAAGAGGTTGAAGACAAAGGATCGAGATCCTTGTCGCTGCTTGTCCTCATGTGGCCCGGTCTTGGACGTTGTGGTGGAGAGAATGTGAGCAGGTTGGGTGAGACCAGAATTGGGGAAGAAGGGGGGGAGGGGAAGGGGAAAAAAAAAAAAAGGAAAAAAAAAGAGCCTTGGAAAATGGAGCTGTCGTTCGTCGTCCAAGTCGGAGTGGAGATGCACGGTGCGTGGCCGGGAAAGAGTGAGGTAAGGTACGTCCTGTGTGGGTCGCTTGGAGCTAATCTCATTCGGGTCTAGGCGAGCGCCTCACGAGGAACCAGGAAGAGTAAGGTAAGGTACCTTAAGGCAGGTCGCTACCTTACCTGTACGGACGGTACGGCACAGTAAGGCGAGGCAAGGTAAGGATTGTGCCGCCTTGGGAACGAGCAAGGGAAATCATCACGACCCTTCTCTTGCCTTGCGAATCTTCTCTACGGATACGGACCCCGTTCTTACATGCCACGACGGGACCACCCTGACATTATCGAAGGGAGATACCTTACGGCGGTGACTCAACGACACCCCGTATCCGCCGTCTCTCTCGCTCTCTCTCTCTCTCTCTCCACGATAAGTGATCCTGGACGAGCGTAAAACATGACTGACTCTACGCAAGGTATGGGTCGTTGAGAGACCCCGCCGCGCATCGGCTTTGTGTCGTCTCTGCCTGCTCCGAGTCCGTATCCGGGGCAAGATATCGAAGTGGGTGTACGGACGAGGATGAGCACCACGCACTAGAACTCCGTACGCACATTGGGACGATGTACATTCGGATGACGGATTACCAATGCCTTACTTTAGGACCTCGTCGAATCCGACCGGTACCACAGCGGCAAATGGGACCTGCAATGGCTCGATTTAGAAGGTTAGACGAGCGTGTGAGATATCTGCACCAGGGTGCTGCAACGGGTGCGCTACGTGCGCTAGGCGTTTTGCTGTCCAATGTCAAGTCCAAAAGTCTAACAAGTCCAAGAGGTGGGTGTCTTGGGCGTGTCAACAATTGGCCTCGAGTTCGTTTTTGGCGTGCTGCTCCCTTCTATTTTGCGCCCTCCTTCTAATCACTTGCTCGCTTCTCCAAAATTACTCCAAAATTGGGTCAACTTTCTTTTGTACTCATCTCCTCAGGACTCGGCAGCGGGAGGTCGAGTAAGTGCCTTGGCCATCACAGAATTTGAAGCGTTGGGCGGCAACGAGTGCCCATGATTTACGAAGGCATGGATCTGGGAAGCTCTCCCGCGCGGGACGACCAAGTAGCGTCCGTCAGCATGGAGAAACAAGCCAATCAAATTTTCTAGGCCGACCTCGACGCCACACTGTAAATATCCGCAAGACACTGAATGTGCCTATCCCTGACCTCTCCCAGGTGATGAGAGAGCGACTCGGACGTCTCGGCTTATTCGATAAATCTCACGTCTCAGTCTGACCCATCATCACCTAAGCTCTGCCTTCCACGCGTGCGCCTTGCCTCAAGTTGCTTGCAGAGATGTCCAGTCAGACGATCAGTGAGTCCTGTTTTGCTTTTTTAGGTCTTACAGGCACATTCTGCCCCCGTGGCCGTGGCCGAGTTGGGCTGAATTATTCGAGACCACCTACCAGTTCATGTTCATGTCATTGAAAAAAGTGCATACTTTCTAACGAGCTTTTCTGCAACAATTCCGTAGGACTTTCTACGATCATGATCTTACCCTGCGGACAATTAGAGGGGTTTGCATCATTAATATCGGATGAATGTCAGCCTCAGCTGCTGCCATGCCAAGAAATGAACCGTGCGTGCCCGAGGTGCTTAGGTCAGCTTTTGATCGACAGACCGTGCTGGGGGGAGACACCTTACTCTGATCCAGCTCTGAGTCCGTCTTACCTATCCGTAGTGTAGTTACCTAGGTTGAGATGACCTGAAAGTGGATCTATGAGTACCGATATCCGTACCTTAGGAACCTACCTACCTACTAGGTACGTAGACACCACAAAGGGCTTACCTAAGGCCGCCAGCCGACTGCAGCTCACGAGGTGGAAGTTGGAAATTGCCTGCCGCCGCCGCCACTCCGCTGCTCAGAACCGGAAAGTGCGCACGAACCACATCTACGGGCCACACCTAAGGACCACAGCTAAGGACCACACCCACGGCCGGAAACCCACCTCTCAGCGATGCAGCTGCCTTTGACAAGTCTCATTTCAACCCATCTCCCTTCCAATTTCTCTCCCGCTGGCAAAATGCACCTTGATGGCTTACTGCTAGACACCGGCTGGCTTTGACCTCGTCCGGTCCCGAGAACTTGGTGCGGACGAGACCAGGCCAGACCAGGCCAGGTATCTTAGGCAGTCGTCACGATCCAGACCAGCAAGGGCAAGCCCAGTAACGTCAAGGCCCATCCCCCTCCCCCTCACCCGTCAACGTTGGCTACCGACGGGAGTGTCTGTACGGATACATCTTTTCCACTCCGTACAGATCTTCGCACAGTCGTCGGCACAAGGAGCAAGCGAAGAAAGCCCAAGTCGTTGGGAATCAGTTAGTTGCCTTCACCCCACTACAGGTGACCGGTCCCGCTGCACTGCCATCCCGACGACAAGGCTCCGTTCCCAACACATCGCCGCTATTCTCGAATGTTTGCATCACCTTTAGGCAGACTCTTTTGCAGTCCTTGGCTGCGCTTCATCCTTCTGCACCTCGTCAAGCCTGTCAATCCAGCTCGGCTGTCTAGCTGACCATCTTGTCTCCTCAGCGCCGTTAGTCGCTTGTCATCCGAATCAAATGCCCCCCCTCCCTTGGCCCGGGACTCTCCTCAGTCACCTTCTTCCTCCCAAATCGCACCTCGGTCACTTCCCGATGCAATAACAGACTGCACATGACGCCGCCGCCCGCACCTTGACGCCCTTTAGGGCTGGGGTGACCAGACATTGAGCCCCAGGCTTACCGCATCGTTGCCGCGCTACCTGCTCCTAGCACACCCAGCTCAGTTTCGAGTCTCGCTAAACTAAACCACGGATAGGGCTCGCCCGGGAACTCGGGGCGTGGCTTGGTCTTTTGGTTATGCAGTGTCGTTCTCTCTCGCGGGCGTTCATGACATGCGCCGTCGCTCTCCCCAAGCTTCTACCGCTCAACAGCCGACAAAAGTCCCCTCGAATTGACGCCATGTAATTATCTCGAACTTGTGGAGAAGAGCGTTCAAGCAACGATTGTCTTCGGCCCAGTCTCGTCGAGTGACATTACGATGTACATCATCACCGGTGAAGGGCGCTGGTGGCCGTCAGCAGACAGCACATCCGCAGCGGTACAACCAAACCGCCGCAACAAAGGGACCTCGCATCGCACAACTTCTTCCCCGACTCGACCGTAGTATTCTAAAAGCACTCACTCAGTCCCACCACCACGAATGTAGGCTGTAGCTACCTTGCTAAGAGCTGTCCCTTTGGAACACCACACGCGCGAGTCTCAACGCCACTCTCACTTGAGGTAATGCCGACTGTCACCATTCGGCGGCGTTCCACTTGTCGCAAGCCCTCGCCGCTCATCGCCGTTTCAAGTCACTTCAGTGCCCATCCGTGGCCTTACAGCGACGCCTCCATCTTGCGGCTGGTTTCCGTCATGGTCGAATTACATCTGACGCCCGGCAACATCTCAAGCCGTGAAATTGGCGTCCCGAATGTGCTGCATGTTCTAAATTAGACGGGGAAACCTAGGGCGAGTCGGTCCAAGGTGCATTTTGTTGCTGCCTTGAGACGCAAAACGCGATCGTCGCTCTTAGGCCGCTTCGAGTTGGACCCTAGAGCTGCATCTTCGGACGAGGTGCAGCCCCTCATCGAGGTCCGGGCTTGTGGACAGAGCCAACGCCAGTTACTCACATCATCGGGCTCGGGCCCAGAGCCACGTATTCCGAGCGGAGGTCTCCCGACTGACACATTAGAAGGGTACCGAGGGCCCAGCTAACACAACGAATGGCCCAAGATGTGCAGCCCATCATCAACATTACCGGGAGAGTCCCTACCATCCCAACCACTAATATTTCATTCCCGCAAGGCTTAGACTTTAAGTTAAGCACTACTGAGTATGTTATCGACACCAACTCTGGCTTCCTTCTTGGCCACATAGTATATCCGAAGTGGTAGTATTACGATACTCTGAGTCTGGATCACAACCATTTGCAGGCACACCAGCCCATATTACACCTTGCACCGCGGAAACATTCGGTGGCGTTGACCGCCAGCGTTTAATTGAGCCAATTATCTCCGACTCACCTATTCACACCATGCGGCCTGGTCATGGCGAGCATGTATGTGTCTGAAGGAATAAACAAATTTCGAGCCACGGACGCCCTCCTTCACTTGCCGCCTAAAGCGTTAGGACACAATATGATGACTGCAGAAGCTGAGAAAACTCAAATCGAGGGAGGGTTTTCCAGTAGCAAGTCGGAGACGACCATCGGTCAAGGAAGCACGGGAGCCGTATTGGCAACGAGCTACGAAATCATTGGCTTGGGCCCGATGATTCATTGGGAGAACCCATCAAAATCAACTCTCTACCCGATACAAACACAATATTTTTTTTTTTTTTTTTTTTTTTGCGGTGGTGACTTTTCGCTTGCGACACCCATGTCTGTGAGAACGGAAGAGGGCCAAATACGACGTTTTGAGTTCTCACCTCTCCGACCACAATCGCGGGTCGTTGCACTCTCATCGAGAAGACTGTTCCTAATGTGTCCCTGATGATGTGAGACGTACGCATGCGCATGGAAGACGCAAGAAGCGGGAAAGATCGAAGATTACGGTCGGACAATCGTTGGCCAGATTTACGAATTGCCGGACTAGGAAAGACTGCGAAACTTTGGACGAATCTCGAGGTTCAACACAAGTTTCGGTCGACGATAAGCTGCAATGTCACGCCTCAGTCCGGCCCCTGGTCCATTGCATTCTTGCCCATGCTCCGAAGTCGTCATCAGCATGGAGGACTAGGGAACACCTGTCACTATCGACAGGAGACAACACGCCGTCTTACCAACTGCGGCAAGCGATGCGAATCTCGGCCTCACCGCTGGCTCCCCACGTGCAAGCTCCGAGCTGGCTCTGTAAACGATTGAAGTCTGACTTGCATCATCACACTGCTCTCCCAATATAGTATTCAAGTTCAACGTGACCATGCCGACCAAGGTGGTAATGAATATTCCACACCTGGACTGCCTATAAAACGAATCACTACACGGCAGCAAAGACGCGGGTGCCATTGGCATCCTGGTCCCATGAAGTACCTTACGCAGAGCAACGGCTGCCACGTTGGTGACTGCCTATCAAAATGGAGACCAGACGACAACGACCAGGGTTGCCTGGACGCTATGAACGACAGCTCGCTGCTCATGCCACAGACTCGGACGAGTAAGCTCCAAAGTCTCGGGTTTTGACCCCAAGCTCCGACAGCATGGATGGGCAGCCTGATGGACCCCTAGGGACCCCTTGAAAGCAATGAGCACAAAGCACCAGCCAGGCAATCGATCCATCGTAAACGACTCAATGAGGAAAGGACCGAGGTTGCCAAGCCATAAATTCAAACATTGTCGAGAGTACTCGGCACGCGAGGTTAGACCGACGACGCTGCCCCCCACAAACAATCACCAAATGAGCGCCTCCACAGGAGGACAGCGTAAGATACTGCCTAACATATCGTTTCATATTACAGGCCCTGGAAATCTCGCGAGAGATACGACAAAGTGTCTTGCATTTTCACATTTCGCCCTGTTATAGAGGCTCACGCGGCTGCAGCCGACCGGGCTGGGGTGCTCCGTGGACTCCTCCTGTTCCCGGCTGTTCTACAGCACGCGGCACGCGGCATGCCTACAACACTGTCCTGTGAACACCCCCGCCAACCAAGAAACCCACACTCGCGCAGAATCCCACCTTGACTGAGATTCTCTCCGCTCTCCCACATACAACTGCGACATGGAGCTGCAAAACGATGGAAAGGGCTCTCGTCTGCTACCTTGAGAATTGTTAGCGTCACCGACTCTTCGGTGTTTTGCATTTTCCATTCTCCTTGTGGGATCAGCTCATTCTTTTCTCCTGATGATTTGCCAGTAACCGTCTCGATGCGCAAAGCATCAAATCTACCCTGCTGCTTAAGAGGGCTCGAATCCATGGAACTACCAAGTGCGTGCGCAAGGCGAGGTCCACCGAGTCCAGGCCCAAGGACACTGTTTTCCATCGAAAATCGTACTGCTAGTCTGTTCGAATCTTTCGGAATCCTTCGCCAAAAGGGGAGGACTGTGCCCCTTACCCCGGATTCACAAGTCAAAGTCGCCGAGAGGCTGTTGCAGTCTCCGAATTAGCAAAGCTCGAACGAGCTCTGATGTCCTAAAGGCTCACATTCAAGCTAAGACGCGGGCGTTTACTTGTAGATTCAGGTTTGAGGTCACGCACCACCACCGATAGCTCAGCCAACCCCCGGCCCGCCTCCGGAAGTTTCGAGGCGGCACAGACACCATCCGCCAGGTTGCGGGCGCTCGTTGTTATATGTCAGCAGATTAGAAATGAGACAGTTGGGTGCGCTGTGCCTCAAACCATGGCGTCTCTAGGTCGAACGCCGCCAATATCGTTGGGGCTTCACAGACCTCACAGACCGGCGGAAAGCAGCCTGGTCTTCTGGGGCACGCCGAGTACCCGATATCCTCTGGCCCTGTTGGCCCTGTAGGGCGGAGAGCAATTTAGGGCTGCCTGCACGAGACGCAGAGGTCACACCACGCGGCAGACTGCATGTTCATGTTGGAAAGGGTTGAACTGCCTCTTCTGGTTCACTCTCCGGGTCCACGACTGTAGCCAGAAAAGCCGCTTATTCTTCCAGCTGATTCATCGACAAGATATGCAGCGGGGCGGCACGGCTTTCGATACCCTGACGTCATCCAAGATTCAGATCCCCTCAAATTCCATGTTGTAGCCATCACGAAGAGTCGTTGTTTTTGCACCTGAATGACTTCGTCCTGACACATGTTTTGGCAAAGAGGGACTGGGAGCAAATTCGAGTACTGCGCCCACGACGTCATGATCTGTTCTCAGGCCAGCCGGCGTTTGCTTCAGCTCGTCTTTCACAGCTGATGCTGTGGCTGGCCAGGCGGACGGGGCCTTTGTACATGGCCGTACGCCATCGACACGTATTTTACGCCTACACCTTCCTTCACCTATGGAACCGTTCTCCGTACACTCGTACATACCGGCCATTAGACACTCAGAATCCTTCCGCTGCCCCAAGTATTCCTCCCAGCCCTACGAGGGACCGACCGCTCTTCATCTGCGTCTTGGGTTGCCCCAAAGTCTGACATGCAGCGTCAGGTTCCAAAACAGTACACGCTCGCCCGCCCATCTCAAACGGAATGATTGCGTCTTGCAGCACATCCATCCCTTGCCCAACTCTGAGCTGAAGCACTGGATTCAAATTGACATATGGCCGTCATCTGCACGCTCGACGTGGCCCAGCGGTGTTACATCCAGCTGCCCTGTGGACTTGAGATGCTGCGGCTGCGCCGCAGACGAGTAGACACACGCACCACACCTATCCGCGATCGTTGGTCATACCCTGGTTCCTTCTCGATCATGGGGGGCTTTAACAAATTATTAATGTTGTACCCAAGTCCACTCTGATTACGACTCGTTTGGGACTTTGGTTTAGCGGAACCTGATATTTGAACCCGAACCTGCCAATCGCCCTCACCCCAAACCCCGCAAAAATGTGAAAAAGGACTGTTGTAATCTGGCCTGCGCGGCTTCTGGCCGTGAAATGTAACGGCGCGATCCATCCCGAACGCCTTTGTTCAGGTTCATGCGGGCATGGATGATTTGGCTCATCGGGAGGATTCAACGTCTCGCACGAAGCGCCCTACGAGGGGCATGACCAAGATATGCCAAAGACACGCCCCCCTCCTGGTGTCGAGAGATCGATCAACTTGGCGGCGCATCCGCTTACCATGGCGCACTTAGCCCAACTTCTTGCACCGTTTTCCTTGATACACGGCATGTGTCTGGCCCGCTGTGGTGAAGCCATCCGGCCACTCATAGTCAGTCCCCCGCCTTCCGCGGTCGACTCCAAGCGCCGTCGTGTGTGTGGGAAAACGAAGAGATACAGGACTTTTGTGGTGCCAACCTCGGGCATTATCGACCCATGGCATTGGTTTTCTATCATTGTCTTCAGACGAATCATGGCGGTGGCCGAATCAGATGAATGTGTTCATCGCCAAAATCAACGCCAGAAAGTTCGGGAGGAGCGTCACAGGCGTCAGCAATGGACTATCATAGACGACAGGTCAGCATCATCATAGGTAACAGGCTAGTCTTGGCCAACACAGCACCACCAGGTATCTCCTTGCGTTCGCGGTCGGACTTTCAAGATTAACCCCGTGGTTGTGGCCAGCTCGGCTCATATGCCGATATGACTCGGAGCACTTGGTCTCGCCTCAGGTCCTCCGGATCTCGTGGGTGGTTCAACATACGGCCATCCGGGGATTTGGTAGGGGGCGCACGGCTTGTAGGGCTAGACGACTGATGCATTGTGGCTGACGGCGGCGGACGACCTGGCATGTCTCAACTTGGAAGCGGCGACGTCTGAGGGACTAGCGGCGAAAAGATCCGATCTCGAAGCTTTGCATTCGCATGTATTCGCAGGACAACACAGAACCGTCTTGTTGTCCTCGTCACGGGAGGGTAAGCCGGACGCCCCCCGCCTCCGGTGGCAGTCACGATTTCGGTAGTATGAGGTGCATCAAAAGGCAAGGCATAGAAGCCTGTACGTGAGCCGCCTGTGTGGCCCACGTCTCATTAGCTCGTCTCACGAAGGGGAAAGCCAGCCTTATGTGTCCTGGATACCCCTTCTCACCTCAGCCAGACCCCGAGCTGGCCAAAATCAACTCTGTGATCGCACTCTGGGTCCGCGAGCGTGGCTTGAGCGGTATGCACGCGATCCTCCTGTGGCTGGGGTCCTGGTGGTAACGAGGCGGTGGCCTGCGCAGGGAGGCCGATCCTATGGCCCTCACGGACCAACCACCGCACGTTTTCCGGACATTGAGGGGAATGACAGATTCTAGGCTCCAGAATTACTCTGTTGCTATTTTGGACGTTGGACAGCATCTCGATGGCTCGATGTGATTTCACGGAGAATGGGTGTGCTCCATTAGTGTCCGGGCCAGGCGCCGCGGTCGACGAACGAGTGCGAGTCTCTCAGGGAGAGAGGGTGTATACAACAAGGGGGAGGGGGGGAAGACGAAGATGGAAGGATTCGTCGAGCGATGGGTGGCGCCAGTTATAGCGAAGGCAGCGCACAATGCCGCCATTCCGGTCGATGAGGGTTCGTCAACTAACGTTACCGCCCCTCCGGCAGCTCCTGTCAAACGGACCTAGGTCCGGCTTTACAAGCCAGGTGCTCACTTTAGGGTATACAGCAGAATGGACGAGGGAACGATGGGTCACGCATAGTAAGTTTGCCCTATAACAAATTTCCATACGATGAAGAAGCGGGTAAACGAAGGAGCCGTGAGCGAGGGGGCGGCGGTGTTTCTGGGCTCATATGCCTATCAACAGCCTTGACTGGAAGCTCGCCCCAGGCGGGAAATGGCCTCTCTTGACTTGAACCATTGCGTTTCAACAATGACGTTTCTGCGGGAAAGGTGCTACACCAGAAGAAGGACCCCCTTCACCACGATCCTAGAGATATCATGATCCCCTTGATAATTTCAAATACTAGAATCTCAAGGGGAAGTTCTGGACCGGGTTGCACATCCTCAGGTACCTTGCCCAGTTCAAGGAATCCTGATAGTCCCATTCTCTCGGTGTTACCTTGCTTCTGCGGAGTCCCAGAAGTAAGGTAACAATATATCAAGGGCCACCTTTGCGGTATCTCCGCCTCTTCCACCTTCAGAGTCCTACCGGTCAGAGCAGCCCTACTGCGAGACCATGTATCTGCACCAACCAGGCAGATATTCATCCTTTGTGTTCAATATTTGCTTTGCCGGCTTGGCAATTGATTAGTAGTAACCTCCCTGTTGAGCTGTAAACGAGATTGAACTCTTCGTCCGAGTATTTGCTCTTTTCGTCGGACGACCTCCGCCGCACCCAACAAGTTAGTCGTGGACTTTCATCCTTTCGCTGACTCGCCTACACGAGCCTTGGGTTCCAAACTACGTTCTATATCGATATACCTCGTACACACGCTACCCTCAAGAAGAAGACGGGCAAAGTACACGAGCAGAGAGAGACAGATAGACAGGAAGGGGAGTTTTGTTCATCACCCCAACATCGCTCCCCCTTCTCCTCAAGCACATTCCCATCCCATCCCATCCCACTTGGGCTTCCTTCCGCCATGCCTCAGTGGAAAAAACAAGGATCTCGATCCTCCCGCTTGACTCTCTCTCTCTCTTCCCTTCCTCTCTCTATGCCACTATCCCCCACGCAGCCATCTTGACCTGCTTCTTCCCTGCTTCTTCCTCCATCCTGCCGTAGTGCACAAGCCCCCATGTCCACCACCACCACCACCGCCGCCGCCGCCGCCGCTGCCTCCACCCGCCACCTCTCTCTCTTCCTCTCTCTCTCTTTCTCTCTCTTTCCCCCATCTCCAGGTCTGAGAATGAACAAGCTTGTTGAAGGGTCTACGTGTTGTACCATTACCTAGAGCTCTATCATCAACTGGACCCCGCTTGTCGCAGAGAGTCCTATGCAAGAGGACAGTACACATGAACACACCAACAACGAAGCCACCGAGGCCGGGGGCTGTGGATGAAGAGGGCTCAGAAAACTCTTTGAACAGAAGAGATCTGCTTCATTTCGGTCTTCTAATTCGCCTCCTACTTCACATCGGTGCCTACCTTCCCTTTCGACTCGCCGGTTTTCTGCGGATTCTGCGGGAAGAAGGGCGGCCGGGGAAAGGGGTTCCCACCGCATATCGATGTACGTCTGTCTCCCCCTTCTCGATCAAGCCTAGACGCAGTACTTTTTCTCCTCAACAGCTTTGTACACTTACATGAGCCGGGCTAAGGATTACAAGGAGAGAGCGGAGTTGGACGAGGAGTACATAGGACCATGGCTAGGAGGAGAGGGGGGCAAGGGTGTGGTGACAGCAGGACAAGTTCCGTGGATACCCATCACGCCCTCCCACACTTTACTCCATCAGACCAGTCAGAGCTCTTCTTCTGGACTCTTGGGGACTCGTGGTAGTTCCACTCTCCAGAGCTATTACAAACTCAAAGTGAATCCAAGAAAGAAAGGCCCAATGGCAAGGGAAAAGGCAAAGGCAAAGGCAAAGGCAAAGACATCTAGTTGGGTGGGGAAGGGGCGGCGGTACAAGCGCATAAACACGAATGTAGTAGATCCTGCCAACACACTCCAACACAGCCAAGATCTCATTTTAACCGCGTAACGAGATACCGACGAAAAGCTTCGTCTTGGACCTGGAGAAATAAACACCACCCCCCGCCAACGTGCCTCTTGGATACCCTCCTCCATCCCCTTCTCCCCTATCCCAACCCCCCTTCCTGGATGCGGGAGTACCTACGCCTTACGCTACGGCACAGAAGGACGAATCACCCCTCTCAAACAGACCTCCTGGCGATGGTGGTGGCTTCCTAGCTTCCCTTTCCCGCAGGCACGAAGCGGCTAGCAGTGCAAGGTCTCCTGCGTCTACTGTGCCTGTCATATACGTCGAACATTTGAAGGGTGCAAGTAACAAGCAACACACTCATCTCCTCTCTCTCCCAAACTCCTACCGTAACCCATCCATACACCCACCTACCCCTCTCCCCTGTCGCCCTATCTCTGCGCCTACCTCGTCTCTTTGATGCACATATCCATCCTTCCAAGGCAAAAAATAGACGCCGCCAGTCGGCGCGGTAGGCAGGGCAAAAGAAAAAGAGGGGGGTTTGGAGGTAACGTCTCAATTGTCCCAAATCATGAAACCTAACAATTCTGGTCTAGCCCGCGTCGCTCTTACCTCAAGTTAGATTAGTAAAGAGTCCTGTATAATGAATGCTCCTTGAAAAAGTCCAGACCTGCGTGTGCGGCAGGGGAAGGGAGGGGGGGCGGAGGGGGATCACTGCTGCAGAGTGTCCTGTATCAAAGAACCATAACCGCTTGCAGATTCAGCCACTAGACGGCTCAGTGTGATGGATAGATGGGAAAGCCATGTCATCCAACCTTTGATATGAAGCCTCTGTGCCGGGACTTGAAAAGAGGATGAGAAGCATCCATTCATTCCAACCCATCTTACCAAGGCACCAGGCAAACTCTGCCGGAACGGATGAAAACAATGAACAAGCGAGTGTGGGCCACGGAAGAGGATCCGGAAAAGATGGAATTAACAATGCTCCCTGTGCTGCTATTCAGCAAGGAGGGGGATATCAATTGATGGATGTAAAGGAAAAGACGGCTGGGCTAGTCCACCTGGGCGGGGGGAGAAAAGGGGTTGCCCCAAAACCTAATGATAACGTACTTTGCAAACCCTTCTTCGCCTTGGTATTCAACCGTCTCGCTGAGCTGTCTGCATATGCCTCTTTTGTATGCAAGTTTTACCTGGCTGGCATTCAAAAACCCGCCTCACATACTTGCTTGCTCTGGCGAACTTCGTCCCCCCCTGGACCGCTTCTCCCCTAGCTCGATTTCAAAGACTCTCTCACAGTTTGCCGTGCCGAGCCTTGAAGATGGCGACCTTGTCGTCATAAAAGAGAATTTCGCGAAGTCGGAGACGTGGACGCGAGTTGCCGTAGTCGGCATCTCGCATCGATTCATCGTCGTCTGAATCCTGCGCCGCAGACGCCTCCGACTGCGAGTCATCTGCATGTACTGCATTCCCCGGGGTATCATCAGTCTCCTCTTCGGAGGTATCTTCATCCACCTGACTCGCCGTGTCGTCGTCGTCGTCGTCCGTAGCGACCTCATCGTCCTCATCGTCGTCTTCGCCGTCGACTCCAGATTCGTGACCCACTACACCCTGATCAGCGGTGACACTCGTGGTCGAAGCACCACCTTCTTCTGCTGGCTTGCTCTCCAAGATCTCAAAGCATTTGGTGGAAATTCCCACATAACAAAGTTGGATATCAGGGCGGAGGGTGATAATATCCACCATCTGCAACGCCAACTCCCGCGGATCAAAGTTGCCGAGTATATGGTCGGCAATATGCTGCAGGTTGAGGGATCGCAGTTGAGGAGTGTTGGGCAAGCGCTGAAGGAACGTGTGCTGTACTCATGGTCAGCATTGAAAGCCATTGCCATGCTGGTTCTTCGGAAAGCTGACAAAGGTTGCCAGGGCCGTGGTTTGCTGCTGGACAAACCAGCGATATTGGGGAACATGAATTCACTGGCTTTGAGGTATGCGAACAAAGAATAATAGGACAACGACTTACCCAGTCTTTGAAGTGCAAGGAAATGGCCAGTTCCCTGAGGCCCACCATGCGTCCACTCGTCATGTAAAGTAACATGTCTGTCGGCAGCACCCAGTTGCGCCAGCGAGCGGTGTCTGTCGACGGGTTGTTATTGCTACGCTTCCGGTCTGAACTGTCCAGAAGAACCTTTTGCAAGCTCGCTCGATGCTTTCTGATGATTCCCTTAAAGATCTGATCTATGGTCACGGCTGGCGGCCCACTGGCCCGTCTGCGATCCTGCAAGAAGAGAACCTCCAGACTGTTAGGTGCCAGAGTATCTCTGAGAAAGCTAATCAAAGCCGCCGAGGTGACATCCGTGTGAATGCTCTTGAGACTGAGATGGTATTCCAAAACTTGCTTAGAGCTGACCTGGTGTTGATGAGATCCGAGCCTGACAACCGGAGTGGGGGCAAATTGCTTTCGCAATGCCTTCCAGAGACTATCGTGCTGGGAACACTCGAGTATGGTCAATGTGGTCAAGACAGTCCAGTCGAAGGCCTGACTGAATACTTGAATTGACAGCGGAACTCTTTCGAGCTCGAGCGAGCGTAGCTTGAGTTTGCCGTCCAGCCTCTTTCTCGTCACACCCAAAGGTGTATCCACGATGTCCCCGTCGCTGGTCGCTTGATCTTTCGCAGGCTGTGACTTTTCCTCATGATGTGCTTGGCTATTTGCGCCTGTAACATGAGCTGTTTCCGTTGGATGAGCCGCGGCATCGATTGAGAGCGACTCAATTGGGCCATCTACTTCCATGGCGTCTGGCTCGTTCGTGTTGGGTTGTCCTACGCTATTTGAGGTCTCCGTGGTCTCCAGAATCGCTTGCGTCGATACCATAGGAGCCTTTTCTTTCGATTTCGAAGACGTCTTGCGGCGGATATCATAGATACGACCGACAAGCACTCCTAGAACCCCGCCAAGCCTTCTCTCGCCAATGGAGCTCTCACCAGGCCATCTGGCATCCCTATCAATTTGCTGCAGGTCGGGCCCATCCCAGGCCTGGACAAAGTCCTTGAAGACGGCCCTTGAGGATATACCGACGCGGAGTTCCTGGAGGCGGTCTCGTGATCTTTCGATCGCCATGGCCATCTCGTCTAGGTAAGCAAGTTCGTCGATATCTAGAACAGTCAAACTCTTGAGCGGAGGCAAGACGCTAAAGGTAGGAAATTCGATTTGGGTTTCCGCGTACGGTATCGCGCCCCGCGGTGCCGGATGGGCAGCGTCCGAAGGAATCAAGATGCCGACTGTGGTGAGGTTGCTGCCGGCCGGTAGGGTGGACGGGATCGGGGGAGGCGGACTTGACGATGGTGACGGACTGGAACCGTCGGAATTGTCATGCCATCTCACCCAAACCTTTTCGAGCTTCGACTCGCCGTCTGAGCTCTGTTCCGGAATGGAGGCCAGAGCCATGAAGATTTCGGAGAGCACACCAGTCGGCATATCCCAGACAAAGGACTCCAGGTTGACCATCTTCTCCACAGCTAGAGCGACAAGCGTGCCTAGCATCTTGCCGCTCTCCTTGGAAATCATGTATTCCGCCACCCAATCTTGCGGACCGTTGCCCAGCGAGAATTTCTTCGTATATTTGGCATAGTCGTTCTTCTGTCTCCGAACGTTGGTACCGTAGCTAGGTGTGTACCCCGGGTAGAGCATCTTGCGGGTGCGATGAGCAAAGGAGCTGCCGAGGCAGATCGTAGAAAGACCATAGGTAAGGGCATCCACGCTCTTGGAGTCGGACGTGGTCATCTGGGTGGCATCGGGCCAGACAATGTCGAATCTCGAGTAGATGTGAGGGATCGCGAGATTGTGGAGGTTCGAGTTGGTCAAGGCGAGCGAGGTAAGATCATTCGTGTGCGTAATCTGGAAAGCGCAAAGGTTAGTACGGCAAAAAGAACAACATGTTCGGCAGCAGCCCAACTTGCCTCCTTAATAATCAAGCGCAAGATGTCCACCGGCAGCTCGAGAAGGGTCAGCTTCTTGCCCGACTTGCTGGGCGCGACAGCATCCCATTCCTTATCCTTGCCCTTCATAAGCTTGCGCATGACCACAGAGGGGTCTACCGAAGCTACCGAAGCATCGGAGATGCCATCGTGATCGACGGAAGCTGGGTGGCCTGGCACGTCGTTGTGGTAGGGAAGCTCGACCTCGTTCGGATGCGGCTCGGCGGCTTGATGGGTCGTAGAGTCGCTGGTATGCAGGGCTGGGGCCATGATCGCGAGGGGCCTCAGCGCATGCTTCGGATCGCGACGGCGGCGGTGGCGGATTAATATTGTAGGTTATCGCTGCAATGGCGTGGTTCTTTCCTCCTCCCACTTGCGCAATATGCTGAGATCTCGGGGTGGGAAGTGAGTCGTCAGAAGAAACGATCGGGGGTGTCTGGGCTCGGATGTGGAAGGCCTGTTGGTCACTTGTCTTTTTTTTTTTTTTTTTTTCCTGAACCCGCGGATGGCTCAGAGAACAGTGTGGTAGAATGGACTAAAGGAAATACCGGAGTGAAAGAAGATATTTCGGAACGCTGTGTTGGCGGAATTCAAAGAATGCCTGACGACAACAGAGGTCGAGCGAGGCCAATCATGTCATGTCAGAAAAAGGCCGACATGGGTGTCATGAAATTTCGTTCGTTGCGGCTGTGGCTCTGTGGTGAGGAGGTAGCGGCGAAGGCGACGGCGACGGTGACAGCGGTAAATGGTAGTTGAGGTGGTGGTGCGTTGGTCGTCGGTGCAGTCGTCAGTCGTCGATCCGGTGGTGGACCAGCTTGGCCAAGGTCTTTCCCAAAGTGCTCTGCGCTAAGGTGGGTGGTCCGGTCACACGTTCCCCGGATATTGCTGAGGTGAGGTACCTCTTGCAGTTGCTAGCCTTGCGGCTTGTCTCTGGGTGTTGGGGTCAAAAACTCCGACTTCTCCGACCCCAATTGAGCTGTTTCCCAATCTGATTGGCGACTGAGAGCGATAGTCAGACTTGAGGAAAGTCGCCTTGCCGGGATTCTCCTTCTTGATTGTTCAGGGTGAATGAAGTCTTTGGCAAGTGAAGACAAGGAAGGTGTTGCACCCGAGATAAGTGCCCTAAGGAAGGTAGGTACGTACGTAGGGTAGGGTAGGTGGGTAGGTACTTCCAAATCAGAGCTACCCAGCAGCAGCTCGGATTTAGAGAAGTTGCTAGGGGTATGGTATATTCGTCGAGTCCCATAACTGTTCGGTCCCACATCTTCAATTCCAGATTTGGGGGCGGAACCCCGGGATCATCTTGCAACGTTTGGTTCCTAATGTTGGCCGGCAAGGGCATTTCACTTGTTGGACCTGCTATCTTTGAGACGGCTTACGAAGTGCATCTCACACAGACAGGCCTGTCATGCGAACAAGATGGATTATATGCAAGCTCAAATTTGCGGAGAAAGGCACGCATACATACCGCAATAACGACAAACAATTCCTAGCCCCTCACGCCGTATCATTCTCCCCTCGTTTTCAGGAGGCAATACATAGAAACAGATGTATGCTCACCGAGTTGGTCTTTCTATCTTGTTCCTTTCCGCTGGTCTGAGATGGCCGATGATCCATGTAAGGAATGGCGCTGCTCTCGGTTCACCCAATTTGGGACCCAACCCAACTCAGCTCGACTTGAATCAGCTCAACTTTGCTTTATCTCAGTCAAGCCATGACGCCCGAGTCCTGGATCCTCAGCAGCTTCGATTGCGCTGCAAGATGCAGCTCCTGCTTGGTTGGCCCCGGCAGCACTGACGATGATGACTGAAGCTTGTCTGCATGATCTGCGTGCTATCCATATTCAGTTGGCATCCAAGGGGAATACTGTGGGGGCGTTGTCTATGTAAGATTCCAAGGCAGGCGTGGCAAGGTAAGGTAAAGCAAGTAACGGGAGCTCTTCTGATGGCCGGCCGCATTGACTCCCGAGTATTGCTCTTGGTACCTGGCTGAGAATGAAACCGAAATCCGGCAAAGGTTCTCACCGACGACTGACCCACATCCGTTGAGGAAGATCTAATTGTACGGCAGCCTGCAGAAGGCAAGCAAATCAAGCATCGATATCAGACCAAACGATGACGTTGACTGTATGTGTTAACAATACGTGGTCAACACCAAGTCAAATACCACCGAGTATGCTCCTCGCCGGAATGCGTCTTCGGCCGGCCGCAACAAGCTGGTCAGCAGGTCCCCTTCGCCTCGCCTCGGCTCATTTGAAGCTTTGCTTTAGAGAGGTCACGACCCCAAGACCCCACGACCTCAAGAAAAAAGAACCGCGACAGTGACGTTTCCCGAGCCATGGAGAGGTCATTCCGGCCTCCCGCCGTTCCATTGCTGTCATATAGAAACAGCCCAAGAACCAGTTTCGAGGGGCTGCGTGCTGTGACCGGCGCCTCCGTTTTCCTTGCTGGCATTTTTGTCTTCTTTGACTTTGGCAATTAGTGACCACACCGGGAGAGGAAACCTGGCTGCCTGCCTAACAGGCAACCCTATGACTCTACCTTAGCAAGGAGCGCCTGTATCCGATTGCACCTGTCTCGTCTCTCCCTACCTTAGGTACCCACAGTCAGTTCTGTAACCATCGACTGACGCTCGTGTTAACTATCGCGGGGTCACCGTCACCTCTTTCTCTCTGATGTGCCACCTGTTCTGATTTGCTAGTCACCGACTGACCACGTTGCAGCCACCCCTGAGATAGAGATATACCGAGAGGGAAAGAGAACGAAAGATAATACCGTGTCTCGTCTGGCTTGCCGTTGGTCCAAAAATGGTACATTTTCTCGACGCTCCCCTCCCCTCCCCTCCTTCTCCCAACCACCGCCACAACCCGCCTGCACCTACCTTACCTCGCCTGCAACCTTCCCTAACCTTCCTAACCAGCCGGACAGGACCCCTCTCTCCTGCCCCCCTCCCTCAGCCCAGTCGTTGCTCAACCCAGAAACGCTATTTATTTTGCGCTCCTGCCGCCTTGATTCTGCCGTCTGATTGCGGATCCAAACGAAACAACAGCATCATCGTCAAAAGCCGTCGCCAACGCCGTCTTGCTTTTGGAAAAGAAACAAAATACATCACCTTGTCATCTTTGCGGCTCCCATAAACTAGACGATACCGGAGCCTACCCCTCCAAACTCCCTCCCCCAAGCCGAATACTCCACCACAAAGCCTCATATCCACTTCGACCCGGCACGAACAACACCGCGCCCAGCAGCACCTACTCTATCAGATCGCGCATCACCTCCACGATACCGAATACACGGTTGACCGTAAACGAAAACAAGCCTCCATCGGCCAAACGACGAATACGTTCACAAACACTATCCACAACACAGACACCCGAATCAACCCCTCCCCGCACACAGCAACCCACACACATCAATCATGGCGGCCTTCGTCACCAACCTCTGGGACTCAATCTTCACCCCAGGCCCGACACCGACCCTCCTCCGCGCCACCAACGCGACCTTTGCCGCCCTCCAGCTCCTCCTCGGCGTCCTCCTCCTCGCCACCTGGAGCATCCACTTTGTCATCCTCTCCTTCCTCAGCGCAGGCCTGTGGTACGCCATCAACTGGTTTGTCACCGAGCTGGCGATCCACGCGGAGCAGGAGGCCAAAAAGGCGCGCCTCGGTAGCGGCACCGATGCATCCACCGGCGGAGGGGGAGGAGGAGGCAACACGGCGGCAGCGCTCGGCGGCGGCAATACCCAAGGAACGGATGATAGCGATACCGAGGTCGAGGGCGGCGCCGTCGTGGGCGGGAGTAGGAGTGGCGCTCGCGGGAGGAAGACCGTCTTGGGCGGCAGTAGCCAGGTCGAGACGGCAGCCGAGCAGCAGCGGCCGGCCGACTTGAAGCGTCGCACCGCCGTTTCCGCCGCTGCCGAGTCCGGGGCTGAGGAAGCCACGAATGGGGGCACGCAGTCGAGCGTGAGCACTGAGGATGAGTGGGAGAAGGTTTCGGAGAACGAGAACGAAAAGGACAAATGAATGAATGCCGAGGCGCGACGACGTACGGAACGTAAACGACAAGGACGATGCGCTTAACCGATACTACTCGTCGAGCGATGCACGTCACTAGGATACTCTACGACACCGGAGGAGGAAGAAATGTAAAGGGAGGGGGGAGACAGATGTTCGGGACGCATCCGCGCGACGAGAGATTTGAGATACCCTTGAGCAAGCGTCGACACATGCGCTACTACTACTGTACGAACCGGACATGTACATAGGGCCCTAGCAGCATGCTCCATTGAGAGCAGCTCCACGTACAAATGCTTACGAAGATAGCGATTTCACACCAGGAATGTTGCTATTCACCTGTGACTTGACTATGTTCATCCTACATGCACTCCGACATGGGCTTAAACATAGGTCCCCTGCATCCAGCAAGAGCCAGCAGGCTCGAGATGTGCCGTTCTTCGAGATTCCCTAAATGAAACCAAAAGCCTTCTACGGTCTAACCCAGACACGGTCTAATTTGAAGAATAGTACACTCCCCCTTCCCTAAACGCCATCCGATGTCCCCATGCTGCGTTGCCAATACTTTACAACAGTGAAATGCGCAGCGGCTTTTTCTTCTTCTTCGCACAGCCGGCTCAGAGATACTTTAGCTTCCGCGTGGCGAACGCGGCCACCACCGCGCACATGGCACCGATAAACAGACATACGGCAATGGCGTTGGGTGCGTCGGTGTTGTGCTGCTCGTGTTTGGCTGCGTCCGAGAGCTCGGGGCTCTTGCCCGGCTCTAGAATTGTAAAGACAATGGTGCTGATAAAGGTGCCGATGAACTGCGGCAGGGTCGTGTAGATGTTGAGGATGCCAAAGTAGATGCCCGACAGCTCGCCGGTAGACGATGTCGTCTGCTGACCGCCTTCGTCCGGGCCGTGTTCCAGGTGGAGCGGCTGGTCGTGGCCGAGCGTGGGCAGTTCAATGTTGGAGTCGTTTGACAGGCGGCGGTAGGCCGCCGTCCCGCTTCCCCCTCCTTCGCGGGCCCCGCTGAGCTTGTTGACTTCTACGCCGAGGAAGGTCGTCGGCGCCCACATGGCGATCGTCCAGGAGAAGCCGCAGAAGGCGACGAGAAACGTTGCGAAGCGGAAGCTCTGCGCAAAGGGGGCGAGGAACATGGCCGCGGCGAACATAAGGTGGCCGCATATCCAGGCGGTCATGAGATCGGGCTTGTTCTTGTTGAATCTCTCCAGGATCGGCGCGATGGTCTGCGGTGGTCGGGCCGTGAAGTGATCGTCGTCTGGCGATTTGACGACCATGGGCAGGAACCAGGCGCCGATGAAGGTGATGGTTGAGTAGATGACCAGCGCCAGACTGCCGATGCGGCCAATGTCGCCGAGGGCATCTTTGGAGTCCTTGCCCTCTGCGGGAGCGTCGTATCGGAAGTACGTCTCGCCAACCCACGTCGTGCTGTAGAATAAGAACGGGAACCAGCCGATCCAGGACCAGAACTGGGCCCAGCAGATGGCCTGGATCCGGGGGGGGAGATGGAGCAGCGTCGACCAGATCTGGCGGAAAACCTTGAACCGCCCGGTGGCCTTGCGGGGGTCGTGTCTCGTCGACACCAGGACCCGCTCGGTAACGGCCCAGCAGGTCACGCCAGAGCAAAATACCATCAAAAACGTGGCGATGAGGGTGAGCTGCTTGAATTGCGAGTCGCCCGTTGCCGTTCCAAAAATGCCGACTAGGTCGATGGCGCCAGCTCCATAACCCAGCATGTGCCCAATGGCGGACATCCTGCTAGCTATGTGGGGATTAGCGGACGGCATGCAACCTGTGGGGATGATGCGCGTCTTAGCTTCACTTACACCACGCGGCGCCGGTCTGTTGCTTCGCAATCGGAAGGGTATCGACGATCAAGCTTCTTGCGCAAGACATGACTGTGCCAAAAATTAGTTTTGGAACAACGAGGGGCTTGCGCGCAGGCTTATGAATCGCACCAGCATTGATGGCGAAATCCACGGAGTAAATGGCCAACACTGCTAGGATGATGGTGAAGATCCGGGCAGTCTCCTTGTCCGAGACGAAGAACTCCACGATCTCTTTTGTGAAGCCCAAGGTCAGCAGGCTGGTTGCGACAATGATTGATCCTATCACGATGAACGGTCGCCGTCTGCCCCATTTCGACTTGGATTCGTCCGCTATCGCTCCCACAATAGGTTGGACTACGAGTCCCGATAATGGTCCAGCGATCCACACCAGCGAAGTGTTGCTCTTTGTGAGACCGAGGTTCAATAAGTATGGTGTACAATCTATTGTCAGGATTTATCAGTATGAAAAGACCAGTAGCAGATGATGTGCGGCGACATACAAGTCATCTCAATTCCCCACGTGAAGCTGCATTCGGGCCCAGATTAGCAAGGCAGATCCATTGGCAAACGTCGGATTGCAAACGTACGTGATACCCAGGGTGTTGAAAGTCAACAGGATCATTCGCATGGCCTCGGAGCTCCCCCTGATGGAGGGCTGTCCCGCCCAGCTAGACATCCCTGCGGGATCTTGCTCTACCACGAGAGCGTCGTCGTCTTCAGGGTGGCCGTAACCGTCGTCGCTCTGGCGGCCACTGAATCTATCCGTCTGGTGGCTGGCGAAATCGCCAAGGCCAATGAGCTTCGTGTCCCCTTCTTGATGCGCTTCTGGCGGTTTGCGAATTACGAAGGGAAAGTCGACGTCATCTAGCTCGTTGGCGCCTTTGTCGTCGTTGTTGCCGCTGGAAGATGTCGAGGGCGTCCGTATCAATGTCGATTTTGCGCCCGAATGATCGTCGTAGTAGTAGTCGCGGTCGTACGGCGAAGGGAAAAGGTGAAGGTGTGAGGGCGATAAATTGTGCGACGATGTCGTTGAGCCTGACGTCTGGGCCATTTGAAGGGGCCGACGCAACACGGCACTGCTAGCTGCTTGCGCTGCCAAGAGCAGGGTGGGCGGCTTGCCTCTGGGCAGGGGGGTGTTGTCGTGTTGTGGACCAGGTCCGAATTTAAAGTAATACGGGCGTCGCGGCCGCTGCGGATGTCAGGAGCGGGTGCGCGTCAAGCCCCCAATTCCGTAGTTGTGAAGGGTAAATCAGCCAACGGAGGCTAACTTTCCTGACGGTTTGGGGATGGATGCAACAGAGGTCCAAGATGAGCAGGCCAAATGAGTGGTGGTTAGTTAGAGCTATGGTGGGCCCAGCATGGAGCAGGCGTATCTAAGGACTACCCCAAGGTATCCGTACCCAGGCATGCAATACGGGGGAGATGATGAGGTGCCTTAGGGGGCAAGTGTTGGGCGGATGGAATGTAATACGAAATTGGCAGGGCGGGTGAATTGCTTGTGCAGAGTCGGGAGCTTGAGATCATGTAATGATTAGGTACTACCTGATGAATGGTGCCTGCGATACAAGGAGATGCATAAGAAAAGGAGACGCGCAAACATCAGGGAGAGAAACTCTTACCCTAGGTACCTTACCGTGCTTACCTCAAGTAGATGAGGATGCATGGCTTGAAAGTTGATGGGAGGGATGAATACAGAGTAATGTTGTACATCAGTTGTCCTGCTCAGGAGCGGAAGTAGGGAGTGCCTACCTTGTACCTAAGGCGAGGGAGACCACCAGATGTGATGCAACGAGGAAACCTAGTATCGAGCCAGAGATTTGATTTAATGTGGCTTGGAACAAAGTAACTTAGATTGCCCTGCACTCGCACCTTTTCAGCGGACTCCTTCCCAAGGGGCATCCTATCATCTGCTAGCTGTCATTCGACCAACCGGACGGGATTGAAGCCAGCTCGAAGCTTATACGGGCAGTTTTTCGCGTTGGAAGCTCTGCCCAATCCATCTCAAGTTCCTAAGCCAGTTTCGGGACACCTTGGAAAGTGTTACGCTGGCCCAAGCGGGATAAATGTCAGGGCAATCTGTGTCGGGGCAAGGCAAGGCGCAGATGTTGAGACCACGGAGAGGATTTACACATCAAATCTCCAGACGATCTAAGAAAAAAAAAAAAAGGGCCCGTGACTCCTTTCTTCCGGGTTTTATTCGGGTTCATGTTCGCAAGGGTTCCAGCAGCTGCCCGGTAGCTAGCTGTCTGAGCAATTCGACAAT